CAAGTAAGCTTTTCCAGAAGCTAACAGTACAAAACTTTCTGATTTGTAACCTGAGGCAATAATCTCTAATGCAATTCATCTAACAGGCCATAAAAAAGAACTGAGAAAAGGAAGGACACTGTCTTTAGAAGTAGTCTTACACTCCTGTAATTCCAATTTGCCACTGTTGCCAGATTATGACATCTAATATCAAGAGCACTATCAAGCAGCAAGGAGAAATACAACGTGTCTGCCTTATTAACTTTTTCTTCTGACAATAATGGAGAGATCAGCTTATTTTTGGAACAGAATTAGAAATAGCACCATTATTTATATGACCTGAAATTTACCTTTTTACCTTTCTCAAGAAGACATAGCCAAATGCTCATAATTTATACGCTTGAGTAACCTGTTTTAAAAACCCACCAGCATTACATATATTACATAAGCAGGTTTTCATCAGAATTCTGCTTAGTGTTCATTGCTATGTAGCAGTCTTGGCTAGATTGACACATACAAAAACTGTATCTTGCAGGAGGCTGCAAAGACAGGCAATTATTAAATGGGTGAGCAGCGTTGCCAAATGAAACTGTGAAGAATCTTGTTAATTCAACTTTGTCTGTATAATTGTGGAGGCACCATCAAGGCTTCTTCACACCACTATGTTCCTGTACCAAAGGCATTCTCAGATAACAACATTCTGTGCCAGCTACTCTGCCACTTGATTTTTGGGACAACTGGGACAGAAAGAAATGAAGGCCCCATATTTTAACTTAATAATCAGGGAATTTTTCACTTGCTGGTCAAGGAATGATTATCAAGAAAAATTAAGACCAAAAGGCAGCTCTACATGTCAGCATAGGCACTGTATAGAACATATAGGAAAGGCTTTTCACTACTGCGAAGCAACAGTATATCTTGACAAAATCAAATAAAGCAAGCTAAAAACCTCAATTTCTGGTAAGCCTGTAATACAGTCCACATATTTAAAAGGCTGCATCTTGTATTATATTACATTATTTTATAGTGACTATACTATATTCTATTGTGTTGCACTGCATAGAAGAATGTGGTATTGAAACAAAGACCTGTCAAAACGCAGGATTTCGATTTGACCACAAGGTGGGAGCACTGCTCATCACACATACCCCCGGCACAGGCTTTCACCATATGCAGCAGCTGTTGAACACGTAAATATCCTGTATATTTCTGTGCTAAAACGTGCATGTTACCACTGAAATAATAAGTTGTCAGGACAAACACACAAAAAGGGAACCTTTTATTTGTCTATAGTTTGTAGCTGAAAAAGTATATTTGATTCAATAAACTCCATTTTGGTCCCTGGAACAAAGTGTTACACTGAAACCTTTGCATAAACATTGCAGAATCTCTTCCCAGTGAGAAAAAAAAATGAGGAGGTGGTAGAAATACTCTGTGAAAGTGGTAATTACAGAATCATGCAATCAGAATAGTTTGGGTTGGAAGGGACCTTTAAAGGTCATCTAGTAAAACTCCCCTGCAATAAGCAGGGACATCTTCAACTAGGTCAGGTTGCTCAGAGCCCTGTTCAACCTGGCCTTGAAAGTCTCCAGGGATGTAGTATCTACCACCTCACTGAACAAACTGTTCCACTGTTTGCCTACCATCACTGTAAAAATTTCTTCCTTATATCTAGTCTGAAGTGGGGAAGAATAATTTTCTCATTTGTTGTTAGTTTCATGAGCAAAAAAAAAAAATTGCAAAAAAAGAAAGGTTGGATTGTAGATAAAAATCATGTCCATGTGACTTCTTACAGTTTCACATGGGAAAATTAAGTTTTCCAAAATGGTTTAATAGTGTTCTATCCCACAGGAAACTTTTGATAAACTACTTGTGCTAATGATGTCCCTGATAGGGCTGCGTCTTTATGTGGGAAATGGCAGCCCCACATTTCTTTTCTTGGAATGGAAAAAAAGGGCAGTACTGAGTAAGAAGCAATACCTCCCACAGAAAAAAAAGCCAATACTATGAAGATCAGATTAACATGCGGAGACTAACCTTCAAGTTCAAGAGACTTGCACAGGATTTTGAAGCAGTTAAGTCTGAAATCCAAGGCATGCACCTTGCATAGCCATCCTCAAGCTAGGTTTAATATCATTTGCTTTGGTATGGATAGACTCAGTGGTACAAAGCTCTGGCTAGATTCATAGTTCGTCGCTGTCTCAGCAAACTTGATTCCCATTCCTGGAGGCACTGGAAGTATTATTGGGTAGCTTCAAGGTAACTGACACAGAAGCTACATTTCACACCTGTGACTACAGTGTAGATGTGCAGTTTCAACGTCTTTGTGTCAATGGATGGATTTTATTATGTGTCCCTGGTCACTAGGTTCCTCACATAGTAGAAGGACAAACATATCAGAATCACTTTGGCATGTATGTATTCCTATAAGAAGATATTACAATGACTTTCTTTGTATATAATTAAAAAAGCAACTTGCATACAGATCCTACAAAGATTTATTCAAAATATATTCTGAACTTTCTTCTCTGGATGTAGGATGCCTGCGCCACAGGACAGGGTAGCAGTATGATGTCGATTGAGTTCAGGGCTTCAGCTGATGCTAATGGGTAGTGGTGAGAAAGCTTAAGCCCTTGTGGTAAATCTACACACACAGGCACCTGTTTAATACAAATACCCCCTGAGCTACATACTGAATAGAGGTCGGAAAACCCAAGAACAGAACAGAGGTTGTAAAATCCAAGTACCCTTGACCCTGAAAAAAGTCCAGGCTGAGTTTAACTCACCAGCAAACTACATGTGGTGAGTGCATTATAGCCATAACCTCAATCTTTTTAACTCCCCAGCTCCATCTTTTTCCCCAGCATATGGCATGTGAAAGACCATGCACTGGCACCAAAGAAAACATATTTTCGCGTAAACATTTCAGTAGCTTGCAAACAGCTACGTATTATCCATGGATCATGTTCCTTTTTCCATATGCCTCACATGGCTGGTAAGGAGATTTGCTCTGGAGTAAGCAATGGACAGAACAGGTTGTGCTGTATTTGGCAAAACAGAAGTGCCACGTGCTTTATTTTCTTAGGTGCATAATTCACAATTTTTCTCTTGATTTTTATCAATGAGATCATTATCTATAATCTGCCTCTACAGTGTCTGAATGAAAAACATTCAGCTTACAAACTGTCCTTCTAATGGACTTGCATAGTTACAGTTGCTTATTCACTGTATTCAACTGGTCCCATGATATTAGTCTTTTCCCTAAAGGGATGATTTGTACTTGTTATTTGTTATTTTTTCTCCTCTTACAGGAGAAAAAATAACAAATAACAAGTACAAATAACATCAAACAAAGATGAGCAACTTGCAAGCAACCAAATTCACACCCTCTATCTTCAAGTCTGCATGAAAAATTGGTCCTCCAGCCTAACTAAATAGGTGCCCCTAATCTTTCTAAGACCTTGACAGTGAAGGCCTTCAAATGTAACCTTGTCCTCAAAGTTAGGGATTCATGGGTCTACTCTCTTGGCTGGGCTGGTGCTCCTGAATACTCTTTAAAACGCCACAGTGTTTCTGCATCCACCTGGTCCTGCAAGGGTTGCAGCCTTCCAGCACAGCTGTTGCTCAGCCATCACCCACTGGAGCAGGGAGAACAGTCATTCTGCCCATTAATCCTTCTGGGGTTTTGATAGTTACATACAGAGCTGCACATACTCATGAACATCTGAAGAGTAACATGTTATTTGAGTATTTGTGCTTAATTTCTGCATAACCGCACTAAGAGCTGTAAATGGTATTTGTTCAAGACTGTTTTCCTGACAGACATATAACTCAACTATGTAAATAATGTGACCTCTTAACAAAATAACTGAATTCTTACAAACAATTGCTACTAAGGAGCCTCTTAAGAAAAAGCATATATTTATGTCTGAAATAAATACAAGCTTCTAGATGAAATTTTCTACATTTTTAATTGAGGTAAAATATTTTCTTCTTATTTGCCACATTTGCTAGAGCAATAGGAATTTAAATATTTCTTAAAAAGAAGTAATAAAAGAAAACATGGTATCATACTAAACTGCAGTACTTACAATGAAGTTGTCTTTCTTGACCATCAAAGCAAAGCACTGTATTATTTACATTTAGGAATAGCTATGATTCAGTGAATTTCACTGAGACATACACAGAAAATGCTAGAAAACTTGTTTCCATTTAGTTTGCTACCTAATACTTCAGCAACTGCCTTAAGCAATGTGGATTCAGATACTGAGAGCCCTGTGGTACACAGGTGAGGAAGTGCATGAGTAAACGCACCACAGAATTTAGAGTTATTTTTCCAGTTTGCTGAGGCTGCTGAAAATGTCTGTGAATCTCTACACTAGGCTCAGACTCATTTGAAATTATTCCCAGATGACCATGAAGTCATTCTACGGCTTGGAATTGCTTCAGTTCAACCATGTTTCATCAATTCCCTTTTCAATAGAGGACCTCTATGCTGATATGTTCGCTGCTGCTTGCTTCTCACACCACTGGTTTGACAACATTGGGCAAATTCCCCTTCAGACAATTAAGTCAAGAAAGCTTTGTGTTTGTATTGATGTAGTATAACAGGGACATCTTGTGCAGTATTTTTCTTAGCTCTGTTTTCTTCGTCTCCAATGCAGCCTGTCCTTACAGACAGCAGAATACAGCCCAAAGAAAGTCAGAAGGATAGAATCTCACAAATCCGCATTTCCTACTATGCAACTCTAATAATCCAGGATTTTTCTTTCAGGCACTGCGCAAAAATTGATGGATAAGGCTTACCAGCTCAACTAAATGGTGCTAGGCATTATGTGAAAGGAATGATTTTCCCTCAGAATGCCCTAATGGCTTTTTTTTCAAATCTAATGACTGTTTCTCTTAAGTCTGTTTCTGGTTACCACATTTTTTTTTTGTTTTAGAATAAACTACAGATATTTAGGAATCAAAAGACTGCATATAAAAATTGGTGACAAAATGCAATAAAACGTTGTCCTTACCATCTGTTTTCTTTGATTCATCCCCCACACTGGACTTATCTCTTTTGTCCAACTTATTGTCTTCCTTTAATTCACCTAGAAAGAAGCAATAAGAAACATTATAAGGATTTTAATGCAGACTGCAGTTTATTAATGCCTATAACTCAATCAAATGGGAACATCCAAAGGAGATGTTCCTTAGGAGGAAAAGTCTGAATTCAAAAGGAATAAAGCACCAAAAAAATTTATCCATCTCCTACAGAAAAGCAAGCTTTACAATCTACTTTTAAATGTATTCTAATTTTTATAACCATTTAAAGTGCACATGCAAACTCTTAATCCCTCTGATTGTATGCAGGCCATTAAAAATCTGAGTATAAACTTAATTTCAAAATCAGGACTCTGAAACATTTATGCTTTTAAGGGACTAAGATGCTGCAAGACTTCATCATAAGTTTCTGTTTTAAAGAACCACCTTAGATATCCTAAACAGGCCTATATAATTTTGTCTTGCTTTCTCTTACCAGATTCTGTTAACCACAGATTCATTTGGGTTGGTCCTTTGATGACTGTATCAGGGAACAATCATCCTACCATTGATAACTGCCTTTAGAGTCTCTGTAGCAAACCAGAAAATCAAGGCCTTTGGCAGAGCAATGGTTGATGCAAAATTAAAATGGCAGCTTGAGCTGGGGGGTATTTTATGAAGCCAGGAAAGTTAACCAGTCATTCTCATTTTCTGTCCTCTATTAGTCATACAGCAGAGCACATCAGACTTTCCTAGACCATCCCTTCATTGAATGCGAATGCTGAATGCAAGATCAAATAAAAAATAACTTAAAGGGAGAGTTGCAGCAGAACAAAGCTATTTCAGTTGCAGTGTCCAAACAGCAGCAAAGAAGGTGTCCTTCTTTCAGATATCCAGTGAAACAAGACCAGTCTGTCCAGATGGGAGCAGGCAGTTTGTCCTTTCCCCATTGAGTAATGGCTGTGAATTTGTAACACACACTTTAACACAAAAAGCTGTAAAAGTCTTGCTTCAGAATTTTGTAAACACGAGGTATGCTACAGGGCTGTATTAAAGTGATGCTTATTTCTATTCCTGTTTTGGTACTTCCCAGTCTTTGGATCAAGATTAAAGGTATTACATGTTAAAGAGGATCTGTTCTGCCTTCAAAATACTCATGGGCAGTGGATATTTATTTTTGGAACAGCTCCAAAAAAAAGAAAAATTGAAAAGAAGCATGGTCTCCCTCCTCCACAATGTGCCCTAACCACTGACATGTTTGTTATTCTTGGATGGCAGTGGATCAATCTCTCTCTCCAATTAAGATCCATCATAGTAGAAAAGAGGAATGGTTTTCAAATCTTAAAATATTTAACAAGATGGGAAAAAGCATGTTCTGTTCAGCTTTTATACAAAACTTTTCAGGTTTTTCTTCCTAAACTCACTGTATGTGTGAGAAAAATGAAAGCAAGATGATACAGGACAAGAAGCACCCTCCTCAGCTGATCACACTGACACTGACTTGGGGTACTTGAACAGAGAGGTATGAGCAGATCCAAACAGGGTTTAGGTGTCTGTTTGATAAGGGTGGCCTTAAAAAAAAAAAAAAAAGGATACTATCTTCAGGAAATGAAATAAAAATGTACCTAGCAAAGCACAAAAGTCTTCTTGCATTTCCTCCACCATCATACAGATGATAGTAATGATAAGATAATAATGGTTTCTAACCATTGCATAAAGAAGTTGCTTGACCCTAACTGTGTGCAGGCAAAGATGCTGAACACCTACACACACATTATTTCACAGTTCAGTCTCTCAGAGAAAGAACACAGGCAGTTAATGACAGAGAAACTTTAAACTCACCTGACACACAATTTCTGAACTTTCATTGAATATTATGAATAGGTGACTTTTGAGTATTGTAATATCTACCCTGCCATAGTGCCAGCAGCAGAGCAGAATGATAATCATAATGATCTTTCTGAAAGGGATTAAAGAAACAGAGAAATAATGAGGTAAATACATTACGATGAGATATTAACATAAGGGAAGTTGTGCTGAATCCAGAGATATGAATGTGAAGATCTCATCAGTCTCCAAAGACTCTGCAGTGATTGTACCTCCTAAAGGTACATAATCCCATACATTAAGGAGCAGAATTTCTTTTCCTGAGGAAGATGCTAATTTTCAGAAATCACTATAATTCCTTTCAAAGCACTTTTGACACCTGCAGCCGAGAAGCATTGCAGAAAAAGATACTATCAAAATTACTAGAGAACACTTAATCCCCATACTGTTAGAAGCATGTAAAACAAAGGATTTCGAAATAAATGTTTGATGCAGTCCAACTGGGATTTCATAGGTCCCTAACATTTTTGATTTCCTGGGGGGTCCATTCCTATTCACCCATGTAACACTGAACAAAAATCATAAAGAGCATGACAGCTCTGATTCCCACAGTCCTTCCAATCTAGAAAAACCCTAATGATGAAGGAATTAATGGGAAAGGCAAGCAACCATGAAAATAATATCAGGAATGTTTTAAATAGAATTTCTGCATCTCCTGCCATCTAAACTCACTGCTTGAACCTGGGACTTTCAAAGCCTATATGCTCACTCAGTCTTTTTCTAAGACAAAGTTTCTAAGTGTCTTTTTTGCTAGTTTTGCACTGCCTGATACTAGCCAAGTTTGTGACAAGTCAATGTGCCAGTACTGCCATTTTTTGATATCGGCTTCAGGGAACAACAGTGACACAACCTAGAGTAACTGATCTGTTCTCATGGGTATATGTCATGGGTTAAGACTGGGCCCCCCTGAGAGTTGGGGGCTCAGAGGTGATTGGGTGCCAGGGCAGCATTCCCTGGAGAGCCAATCACCACTTGTCTTGTTCGTTTCTGCTAAAAATCATATATATACAGCACCGGAAGCTGTTGGCAGTTTTTCTATTGGTGTCTGCTGTGTGTAGGTGTAGAAGACCAGGGGGTGGCTGGGCTCCTTCTTCCCCCCTCTGGGGGGGAGAGGGGAGCCCTGTGGCCCCCCCCAACTCTGCCTAGGCCAGAATTAGAGACAGCATTGAAGTGAGTGCTTGTGAGGGATGTGACTCACAAACAACTGGTAAGTGGGAGAGAGAGAGAGAGAGAGAGGCAGGCCTTGCAGCTAGGCCCTCTTCTTCCCCCCCCCTTTGCAGCCTGCAGAAGGGGGCTGTTTTTCCCTCTCGCTGTTTAGTGGGAGTGGATGCAAGGCTCAGCACTGAAGCAAAGCCAAGTGGATGGGCTGATAACAAAACAGCTCGAAGCCAGGGAAAAGAATCCCAGGCAAAATTGGAGACGGGCCAAAGGGCTTGGGAGTTGCCCTGCCGAGGTTTGACCGGGGGCAGCCGAAAACTGACTTAGAGGACGGTACGTTGATAAGCTACACTACAGCAGCCTACAGAACGGAGGTATGAGACCAAGAGGGAGAGATCACACAGCAGAAATGTCACAGGACAAAGGACAAAGGACTCAAAGCTACCTTCTTAGACTTCATGAAGAAGAAAGAACTGCAGCAAACAGCTGAACGTTGGTAGGGAGTGTTCAGAGGCCCCGAACACTCCCATGAGAGAGAGACTGGTTACTTATCAGCCTGAAAAGGCTTTTTCCTGGATTAAAGTTAAAAGGAGAAGCTTCGAAGGGACTGATAGAAGTGTAATGATATATATATAGCTGTTTTTAGTTTGTACAGTATATTTATTTGTGTAAATAAATGTAAATACTTTCCCCTTCCCCTATAGAAGCCTCTGGCCTGAAAGTTTTCTCTTCGGTGTTGGGATAAATTGTGGGAAGGAGTGAGAAAGCCTGGAAATCTTCTGTGGAAAAATGCTACTCAGAAGTTAACATACAGTTTCTGATTTCCATATGCAGGTGACTATGCCTACACACAGGAAGAGACTCTGGCCCCAGAACATCCTTTTTCAGTATATCACGTTCCCCCATCACTAAGGTGAGATACTGGTTTTAGGGCTGGATTTATGTTTCAGCGGAAGGAGAGAACTCACCATTCTGGACATGCTGTTTCTCTTCTCCCACTGTGTGATGAGAGTCTGTTCCCTTATCTGTCCTAGGTATGTTTTTCCCTTGAGAGGCTTTGTGTTTGTTCATGCCCCTTTGCTGAGTCTCATTTACAGAATTTTTACTGCAATCTGTGCTTTTGCTTTCCCTAGGATTTGGTTCTTTGCTGTTCTCTGTATTTGTTGCTGTGGTATCTTCAGTTGGCTTCTCATCCTTTTCGCTTTCCTTTTCATCTGTTCCCTGATAGGCATTTTCCTCTGCTTCTTTCTTAGTTTTTTCTTCTGCATCTTCAGCAAAGAGAGAAGCAAAACAAGGACAGAAATCGCAACGATCAGTCAATTTGACAACTAACATCTAAATCTACTTCAGTATTTCACATACAAACAGCTTTTACTTAAAAAAAAGTAGGAAATGACCTGACAACAGAAAAAGAGCACAGGAGAACATTTAACAAAGTATTCTGAAAACAATATCCCAGGCTGGCCTAAATGTATATTATGTGTGTGTCCTTTTTTTACCATATAAAGTTCACCTTTGAAAAAGTGGTTCCACAAAATTCTTAAAAGGCAAAAAGAGATATTAGCTACTGAAGGCTCTAGGGGTGCCAAAGCTATTTTCATTTTTGACACACAAGTCAAACAGCATTTAGTCTCACATTGTACTAGCTAACTCTAAGCACATAAAGTCTTGGTTCTTTGATATCTACTTTTTCTCCCTCTTGTTCCAGGTTGCTTCCAATGCCAGCTTCTTTATCTCTTCCCTTCCACTTAGTGTTATCCTTTCTTTATGGCTCCATCCTTTCCTGGCAGACTAATACATTGCTATTAGTGCTTGCCATGCCATCCCCAAAAGTTTTACAGTCAATCACAAATATACAAAGGTATAAATTCAAAAGTGAATGTTGAACAACAGCAGCACCTCAAAATAATGTCATTCGATTAAAAAAAAAATCACGAAGAAGTCGTTTTCCTCCATCCAAGATACTATTCTTGTTCTCGTCCAAACATTAGGTACTTATGTGACACTTACTTGTAAGACAGGTTGCAAATTACTTTTGCTTCAGGTATAGAGACCACTACATTTCTAGCCCAGGTCAGGTACAGCACTCCCCAACAGACTCAGCTGCAAGGGCTTTGTTTGGCTTCCTGCATCCCACTGAAAAGCAGAACACAACCACAGTCCCTCAAGACAGCCCTCAAACTAATAAACCTGACTGGGTGTGCACAAACTCTGGGCAGAGAATCCATAATTTTCTTCCCCTTTTGCATGATCAATAGAGACTTAATCTGCAAAAGCAGATGAGTAGCTCAGCAGACACTCAATTTGGAACCTGTGAGCTTATGCAGCTTCAGATCATAACTGTATCTATACTGAGTCTAGCACAGAGATGTAACCAACCTATTATTGGGTTGGGAATATTCAGGTCTACTCCTTATGACCCCATCAAGCAGTGATTTTAATCGTGACAAGAATCCACAGATGTATCTCTTGTTTTCTGAGAGACTATATAAGCTGACAAACAGAGGAGCAGATCCTATAAAATGCTGAGGGAAGTCTACCTCAGTCCTAGGGAAGTATTCTTGACATGTATAAGGAAGATGTTTTGTTCCTTACAGGAGCAGGATCTTGGCCAGTATGTAAAAATTACATTGTCAAATACTTCTCATGAGTGAATCAGAACCAGTTTTAAGAACAATGTACCAATGGGGTACAAAAGTGGAAAGCTGTCCTTATAAGAAATGCCAATGTGCATTTCCCTTGTCAGCAGCTACATAAAGTAAACTAATTTTTAAATTAATAAATTATGGTTCACACAAAAACATAATTCGATTAGTCTTTCTCACTCCACTAATCATTCCTGAAATCTGTGCTAGCTAAGCTATACATATTGATATTTTTTCTGGAGTCTCATAGATTTCACAGAATATTCTGAGTTGGAAGGGACCCACAAGGATCATCAAGTCCAACTCTTCAGTGAATGGGCTGTACAGGGATCAAACCCATGACCCTGCTGTTATTAGCACCATGTTCTAACCAACTGAGCTAATCTGAGAGTCCCATTGCATACAGAAGGATTCCTCTCATTTGAGGATCTGAAAAAAGTTATGTTTTGCACGTGAGTCGCAGGAGAGGAATTTGTCTCAGGAGACTACAATACCATTGGATGAGTACATCTTGTCAAAAGCAGTGTTAGAAAATACTTTATCTAAATAGTGCTTTGCACATCAGGGTGTTTGTTTTGTAGCTATTTAATGATGATTAAATTTAAATAGCTATTTGTAGCTATTTAATGATGATCTTTTAAGTAAAAAAGATCAGTAATAAACCCACTTATTTTGCCTACACAGTATGAGAAATTTTCTATAAATACCACACTTAGGATAAAAACTGCTCACTGAGGCTTCTAGGAACAATGCCATTACCAACGGGAATAGAGCATTGTACAAATAATTTAATAACAATATTAGCTACAAAAGTAACAATAATAGATTCCTTCCCTTCTGATCCCCAACTGCTATTTGCTGTCAACTAACAGGTAATGTTGTATTCTCTTAGTAGTAACTGTTTTTATTGGCAGTGCATCTTGACAATGGCTTGGCAAGGGTCTGCAGTTTCAGAACGTGCTGGGTGGCAGGCCTTGCTGCATAAGACTAAGGTCAAGGTAGATGGACCCAGAGTGCAGAAAATTGCTGCAAGTCAGGAGCAAGACAGCAGCTGAGCAAAAGATATTGACGAAAGTGCTCTGGAGTCCAAGAACATAGAAAGGTATGCTGAGCCATATGTTTGTATAACTCTTCCAGGATTAAAAAAATATGTATATTTGTACTGCTAAACACACCTAGAAACATTAAAATCAAACTGTTTCCATTTACATGAAATAAAACAACTCCATTAAAATAGGGTTTGAGTAATAACCATCCCGATCACAGAATAAATTGCATCCCAGTTTCATAAAGAAAAAAAAAAAAAAACAGTTGAAACATTCCTCCTTTTTTGGTTCCAAAATCACCTGAGGGGTCAAGGAGACCTTGGGCAATCATCCAGCCCCTGGAGGTAAGGGGTAGTTATAACTAAATCGTTCTCAAAATATGGCTCTCATTATTTCCAAAAGAACTCCAATAACAGAGATTTGCTAATGTCTAACTTATTAGACATTATAATAACATTTATAATAACCTGACAATTTTTTTCTCCTCTTAACAGCCCAGGGTATTTGAAAAAAAAATAGTTCCCTTATTTTTCAGCTGAAGTAGTCTTCAAAAAAATGCTTTCAGCTATACACCTATAATGCTTTCAGCTATAGACAAGTTATCATAATTTGCACTGCTGTACTCTGCATTGTCTACAATTGGTCCACATGTTTCCTGAACAGCAGTGGCCAAAACTAGGCACAGCAGGGCTTTGAGGGCCTTGTTACTGCTGGAAAGATGAGAAGAATGCCAGAGGAGTCTCACTAAAGTGTGTTGCGGTTTTTTTTTTAGTGTGTGTGTTTGGGTTGGGTCAGGTTTGGTTTTTTCTTCGGTGGTGGGGGGATGTTGGTTGTGATTTTTTTTCAATTGCATCAGAGTATTGAACCCTGGTCAACATTTAACCAACACAGTGCTCATATTCTTCTGAAATATTTACAGTCTCTCCCAGATTGATGACATCACAAGCATTTGCAGCATATCTTCCAATCAATTTTCCAAGTTATCACCAGAAATATGAAACCAGTTATGAATTCAGAATATTCTGTCCTTCTCCCCTGAAATATTATCCATGCCTCTTTCAACCTTAACAATGAACTACTGATAACCTATATCTACAAATACTGTTCCAGCTATTTTTGCACCACCCTGAGTCTGATTCATGGCTTTAGGGGAACTCCCTCACAACTTTTCTCCCTCCCATTGTCCATATCCTCTTCATTAGGTACACTTACATAAGAAATATAAGGTACTCTTAAGAAGTGTATAAGACACCCTTAAGAAGAGTATAAGGTACTCTTAAGAAGAGCATATAAGGCAAGTATAAGGCACAGACGAGTCACAATATTCCTATCCTTCTGAATACAGTGTAGGTTGTTGAACTCAAAAAGCAGATTCTCTCGAACTAACAGTGCTTACTTGGAGAAAAATCTGATTGAAGAAGAGCTTGAAGAAGATGAGGTCAAAAGAATTTTTATTCTTTCGCTAAGAAGCTTGGCTGTTACCTTTGGTGGCTTGCGCTTTCCATTTCTCCCTGTTCTGCTGCACCACCTCAGTCCAGGTGGCTTTAAAACATTTGAAGTCCACAGTGAGTATGGAGCAGTTAAGTGAGGCACTTCCTTCGGACCCAGTGCTCTTGACACTTGATTTTTTAACTTCGGAGGGACTAATGTTATTTAGGCTGGGGCACAATATCACAAAACACAGAAGAAATCAGTATCCTGTACACTCAAATACAACTACGAAGAAATAACAGCTGTAAGTCAGATAACAGAGTCACCCAGGAAAAATTAAGCTTGAATCCCTTATCTTTCGCTTCTCTCCTGTCCCACCCCAGGCCAATCAATGTTAAAGCAAAGAGCACAACCAAGCCATTGTTAGAAATAAAAGGCATCTTTTCTCTGACTATTTTTTGGTATCCATGGTCACTATGAAATAGAATCAGTCAAAGTGCTGTCACTACTTTTGTTGTACATCTCCACTCCCTAAATATTATTGGAGAGTAAGACAATTCTAGAAATAAAATACGTCAGAGGAGTCGTCTCCTAAAATTCACTGAGGCACAGGACAGAAAATCCACCTCTGTCCAGGACTTGGTGACCTCAGATGAGGCTGAAATCAGGCACTCGTTTCGGTTACAGATCCTACAGTTGTCTTTCAAGGATGGATGCTTCATTGTGCACATTTTAATAAAGGTAACAAGGTTACCGACAAAGAAAGATATAAGTGCCTGTTCTTTGTTCACCCAAGAGTAAAGAAGTCACCTGGGAGAGGGAACCCTGAAGGTAGCCCTACTTTAGGGAGCACTAGCCATGAGGCATTTGAATCCCAAAATGTGCCCTGTCAATAAACTACTAAAAGAGCGGTATCTCTATAATACAGTTTGAATGGGCCAAGACTTCTACACCTGAACTCCAGGTGAATTCTGGTGGTTCTTCACACATTTGCATAACAATACTGTCACAAGAGTGTGCTTATACTTTCCAGTCATCATTTTTGTTTCAACCCCATTTATACTTCTAGATGTGAAGAACTGAGGGCCTTCCAATGACTCTATTTACCTTCTCTCTGACATTAGTGACTGAGAGAGCACTGAAGTGTACCTGATTGCATGGCTACAACCATTTGTGCTCACTGCCTTTGGAGGCATGACTCAGGTTCATGCCACCCTACCTCTTTGCCCTCCCCCAGGCACAAAGCCACCTCACAAGATGAGCTGTAGTGTTGGCAATGCGGATATGGGTCTTTAAGCCACATGGAAAACATATACTGTAGGGGAGGAAAACAGAGGAGTTGAGTGCAATAGCAGCACGTGCAGAGTGAAGGGGAAGGTGCAAGGTTATTCACCTGGAGCGCCTGAATCCGGACATGCCAGAGTGGGAAGCTTCATTGATGAGTGGAGTCACAATCTTCTCTGTCATGTCAGTCAGCACAGTAAAAGTGGGTTCCACAATGAAATCAATGAAACCTGAGCAGAAACACAAGGAGAGCCAGGCAGGCAAGAGGAGGATTTATGCAGAGTCCCTGCTTCAGTGAATACAGACAACCACACTGTAGATGACAGTGTAAAATATTATACTTGAAAGAGAGATAGGCAAATAATAAAAAGAAGAAATTGAGTTATATATTAATCCCTGGCCCAAGAGCCTGGATACAGCATGCAATAAAAGATACCTACTTAAATACTGGCAAGAAACTGTGGTAAATCATGACATCAAAAGATTCATCAAGACTTGTTTTATATGAGGAGTAGTGTGATATTGAAGTCAAATTTCTAGCAGATTTGGATAAACTCCAGTTTCAAAGAAGAATTCTTTAAAAGCAGAAAATAAATATAACAGTAATGATACCAGTAAGTTTTGCTGGTGTGGAGTTACACAAGAACGTCCTTTACTGCGCATCAGCATTCACGTTGCTGTGAATACTCTCTCCTCAGTGCTTGGCCAGCTTTTTCTTGTTGATAAGAAAACAGATTTAGATGCTTTCCCCACATTTTTAAAATAAGTAAAGGAAAAAAATAAAGGGCCAAATAATTTCTACTTCATCATACAGCTTGACAGAGATGAATATGGCTCTGATCTGAATGTTGGGAGAGCAGACTTAAGGGTCCTGTGGCCATAAGCTCATGAGATGGATGAAAATCCAAGTTGCATGGACAAAATTTGAGAGTGAGGAGCTTACAGTACCTTACACGTTTTCCTAAATTCCTTTACCACTTCAGTTAGCAAATTTCTTAGTGTTGCAGGTAGCCAAGAAAACAATGATGTCCTTAATCTCTCATAAGGCACATTGGGATCCAGGTTACAATTACTGTTGTCAGATGTTTTTTGGTAACGTTATTACTGTTACAAATCCCTACTGTTACAATTTTCAGAGATTTGTTAATTATCAAGTATTAATTATTCCTTAATAATATTGTAGTTTCTCTGACTTGATCATTATATGTTTCTACAGCACTGGTGATTCTAGGTGATAACAGAACAACAAAAGAAGAAGAGACCACATCGTTCAGGCACCTGAATTCACAGATGCTTTGATCCACATCCCAAGTGCAAAGCAGTTGAGTATCCTTCTAGTTCAATTTCCCTTCCCTGATTTTTGCTAGATTTCTAAAAGAATGGATTATTAAGTGTATTTTCATGCCTGGTCAAATTAAAAATGTTACTTTTAAGTAACATTCTGTAAATCTGGAGAAAATACACATTCGGTCATATCCAAAAATCTGAATACTGTGCCTCCATAACACTGAGTCAGTCTTATCTACTCAAATTTAGGAAAAAAAGAACTCCCAGGTAGTTAATAAAAAATGTATGTAGCATAAAGTCTGAATAGGAAATTGTATGCTAGATGACAACTCAGATAATCCCAGCAAGTTTTATACAATTTTTTAAAGCACTGGAAATTTTACTGACTGAGAACAGTGTTAAGTGTGCCACAGGAATCCTAAGGATAATAAGAACCTGATTTACATATATTCGTGTGTCTGTCTCTATACATCTCTATTCCCCTTCAAAAACTTATTTACCTCTTAGTGAGCAAAGAAACCCAAGCCACGGTACCCTGTTATTCTGCTCAGCAAGTAATACCACTGCCATTTGCTCCATCACCACTAACAACCCTAAGAGATTCAAATCTCTGATACCAGACACATGACTACATCACTAACTTCAGTAGCAAGGTGTTGAGATTTGTTTCCTCAGATAGTCAACAACTGCACACAAACACAATCTAGTTGTGTTTAAGAAACAGGTTTTCCCTGCAAGAAGTCTTGCAACTCATCAACAAAGATGAGCAGAGGTGGCACAGGTAAACAAACTCAAATACCTAAGAGAACTTTTCTTTGATAAGTGAAATTTTTCCCTCTGTTCCCTACAACATGAATAAGTTTTTCAACTATGTTACCTTAAAATGGAGATCATAATAAAATTTAAATATGCTGATTTAGTATGCTAATTAAAACCCTGACTATCAAATAACGAACCTGAGCTTTAAACCTATTAATGCTAATGACCATTTTATTATCCTTTATCTCCTTCAACAGAATGAGCATGATAAACATTTCTGCACCTCAGTGACTAAGATGATTTTACCAATTAATGCCACATACTGAGGGTGAATTCCAGGCATATGACTAGCGTTCATTCATTCCACCTGCAAACATCATCATCATGGCTAGGCTTCGCAAATGAAGATTTGGGAAGGGCTCTACCCACGTTTGTTGCAAGCGTGTTGGTGGCTGAAAAGGCCAATACAAGATAGGCATGTCCGGTTGCAAAAGGCACAACAAAAAGACTCCTTAGATGGTATATTCTGCAAGGCACGATTCTTTCTGCGCTGCCTTTTCTCCTCAAGGGTGATCCTGCGTGCGTTCTCAAAAGCATCAGCAGCGTTATAGATGGTGCGTCTCCAGGTCTCCCGACTGGAGGCCAGAGTAGACCAGTTATGGTGATCAATATGGCCAAGGCTGAGATGTTGTTTCAGGGAGTCCTTGTATCTTCTCTTCGGGGCTCCTCTCTTGTGGCAGCCAGTAGCAAGTTCACCATAAAGCAGGATCTTAGGGAGGTGGTGGTCCTTCATCCTTGAAACGTGCCCTGCCCAACGCAGCTGTGTTCTCAGCAACATGACCTCAATACTTGTGACTGCTGCTTGTTCTAGAACAGATGTATTAGTCACATAATCTGACCAGTGGATGTTTAGGATTGTTCGGAGGCAGCGTTGATGGAAGTGTTCTAGGAGATGCAGGTGGTGGCGGTAGATGACCCATGATTCAGATCCATATAAGAGAGTAGACAGCACTATGGCTCTGTAAACACTGATCTTGGTACTTTTCTTCAGGTGTTTGTTTCACCAAACTCTTTTATGAAGCTTTCCGAAAGCACTATATGCCTTTGCTAACCTGTTGTCTATCTCTCCGTCGGTATTACCATCCGAGGTGATGAGGCTACCGAGGTAATTAAACTGCTGGACTGATTTGAGTTCTGATTGGCCAATGGTGATGTGGGGATGATGGGGGACTTCCTGAGGTGCAGGTTGATGGAGAACTTCTGTCTTCTTTAGACTGACTTCCAGCCCAAAGAGCTCAGCAGCGTCTGCAAAGCAGGATGTTAAACGCTGCAGAGCTGCTTCTGTGTGGGTGACAAGGGCAGCGTCATCAGCATAAAGCAGCTCCTGGACAAGATGGTTTAAGGTCTTAGTGTGGTCCTTCTGTCGCCTTAGGTTGAATAGACTTCCATCAGTATGATATGGAATGTAGATACCGTCCTGATCCTTGAGGTCTGCCGTGGCCCTTTGGAGCATCATGCTGAAAAAGACTGTGAATAGGGTAGGAGCGAGAACGCAGCCTTGTTTCACGCCATTCTTTATTAGAAAGGGTTCAGAAAGTGTGTTGCCATATCTGACTTGGCCGTGCTGATCCTTGTGGAGTGAGATGATCATTTTGAGGAACTTGGGGGGACAACCTAAACATTCCAAAATCTCCCTCAGACCTCTTCTGCTCACAGTATCAAAAGCCTTGGTGAGGTTGACAAAGGTTGCATAAAGACCTTTGTTCTGTTCCCTACACTTCTCTTGCAGTTGTACCTGCAAACATCGACATAATAAAAAAAAAAAAAACAAAAACAAACAAACAAACAAACAAACAAAACCAAACATACAACAAAAAAACCTGGGTAGAGAACAGTTTCCCTAAAGCCTAACATTAAAAAAAAAAAAAAAAAATCTGCAGCATGCACTCATCAGCCTCTATCCAATGTTTTCTGAAGGTGTAATTTTCTTTTTTGCTAATCAAAGGAAAAAAATAAAGGCATGCAGCTACTTTTATCAGCTGCAAAAGTGGACAATGACAACAAAGGCTGATCTTCAGTGAAACAAGCTTCCTAGAGTTTAAGCCAGAGAAACTCCTGATATTCTTGTTGGGAAATACAAAAGTCTTGGTCTGGTTCTCTTTGCAGTTTGTTTCTCTCCCTCGCTCTGATAAGCAGCTTGACTTCTGGACACAAATCTCTCCCATCTTCACTATGGTACAAAAATATTTGCCATAAGAAAAAGGATGATAAATTGGTCATTATCATTAACATTAATAGGTTTTCCAAATAAAGTTCATAAAGTGATATTCAGGTTTTTTTATTTATCAGTTTAAACTCTGAACAAGTTTTCATAAACTGAAACAACATGAGGGACACGTTCTTTCTTTTGAGGAATTTTTTTCTGTTAGATTCCTTAATTTCATGTAAAAAGGCCATATTGCCAAAATCTTTTGTGAAAATTTTTGATAATGAAAACGTGTGTCCACTATTGTTGCATCTACAGTGACCCTACAGCAGCAAACCAGTAACTACAAACAAGTCGAGCCATCAGAGCAGGATTTCTAGGCTCTGTTCTTGACAGAACTAAAAAATCATAATTTTATTTCACAAAGGACAGAGTTTTTTAATTTATGAGAACTGATGGCTGCTTGATGCAGATGACAGAATCATAGAATCACAGAATCACTAAGTTTGAAAAGGACCTTTAAGACTGTAAAATCCAATCATATAATAGCACAATTTGGAATTCAGCAAGAATTTACTTTTGAAAATAAATGTTCTAAGTACTACTACAGGGAAAAATTTGTTAAGACTATTAATCAGGTAAAGAAATGAATGGAAAAAGAATCTACAACTTTGAAAGTCTTATCTCAGCGGATAGCTAGAAAACAAAGGAGGTTTCAATTTAACAAGGGGTATGTTAGAGAAAGAAACTGTCGATATGTGCAGTAGACTGAGAAATGAGCATTTTATAATGTTAGGAGGCAAGATTTATAAAGAGTAGACTACTAATGTCAATGGATTACTAAACCCCTTGCACAAATCAAATATAATGACAAATAGTATATGACTAAATAAGGTTGCCTTTGCCTACTGATAAGTGCCTCTTTTATAAGGTGGAATTGTATTAGTGATGGTTTAATTCAACATTAATTTTACAGTGGTTTGACACAAAGGGCATCAGAACATTCTTGGCTCTCCTTGTCTTTCTGAGCAAAGGAGCACAAAAGGAGAGAACCAGAAAAACTAGCATCCAAGCACACACAACCCTATGTAGAGAGACCCTGTGAGAGGCACAACTCCTCTTCCCTGTAAGGAGTGAGGAACATATCTGAAAGGGGTGTGAAAGAGAAGCCCTTACATGCACTTTCCTTCACATCGACCAGACAGAGAGAGTTTATCTTCTCTCACAGCACAGCAATAGATGTAATGTGCCCAGGAGTCTTCAACATGAATTTTAGCTGAGACTGCAGCATTTCAAGTTTGTTGCTGCTTTCCTCCACTGAGCTGCTGGCAGAACAACCCACAGTTGTATTGTGGGTTATTGTTGCAGAGGAGTAAATACTACAAGTCTGGTAACCAGGCCAGGCTTGTATAGGGCTTTTCAAGTTCAGATTCCTAGCTGAACTGTCTAAACTTCCAAAGCCAGAAAAATCTGGGATGATGTCCCCCAGAGAATGGCTTGCCTACCAGGAACAATGAAATAATTTTAAACAGAAATGGTTCTTAGCCAAAGATATGAATCTGCACTTTCCTAGGTTTTGGGATATCTCTGTCTTGTTCTTCTAGAGAAATTTCATGGTTCAAATATTTTGTTTGTTTTCCTTCAATATTTCCTTCATTCTCTGTTTGTCTTTCTCAATTCCCTCAATTTTAGTATCCATGTTATCTTTCTTTCGCTATTCTATTAAACTACCTATTCTCCAGTTGAGATTAGAACATGTTTCTCTATCTAGTTCACTTGCTTCCTAGATATAAAAATCCACCCCAAAATGCACCTTTTCCCTTGTCCTTTCTTTGCTCCAAGCCCCCTCAACAGTTTTACTTCACTTAGCCCCTCTTATTCTCTCACCAAATGCCAGGCTTGTTGCCTCATCCTTCCCCTAATTTTTCATTCAGTAACTGAAGGAAAGGTAGAGAAAGTGCTGTTGGTGCGTTTGTAAAAAGATCTCTTTTCTGAAAGGGTGGCACAGAAAAATATTTGCTACTTGCATGGCTTCAGTGAAAAATAATGGTTGGTTTAAAGTATTGGGAGGAAAGGGTTGGAGGCATAAATTGAAAAACACACAGCATTTTTGCACAGGTCATCAAAGGGACTGACATTACATTTTCATATACACCAATGACACTAATATCACATGATGTTGCCATGTGCACCCATTCTTCACAGCTCAGAAAACTATGGAATAAGTGTCATGATCAGGCACTGTAGCTATCTCTGCAGACACATCAGAGGTAACTTGGTGAATGTATGGAACCATTACCATACACGTAAAGGCTCCCCAGCTTTGAATGGTTAATCTGGGAAAAATAATGCTATTGTACTACATTTTTTCTCTTTAACATAGTTCCAAATGATGAGAGATCACTATGATCTTAGCCCTACAGGAAAGAGTAAGTTTTGCTTTTAAGATGCTGCTTCACATGCACCAAAAGGGACATACCTATTTGAGACTGAGCAACCATAGTAGATTTGCGATCACACAGGGGAGAGAAGGGCAGCCCTAGTTCTGCTTCTTTGTCACCCTAGAGAAAAAAAAATGAGAAGAAATTAGAAAAGGACAAGACACATTGCACTTCTATATCTTACTTCACAACCGTAAAAGCCTCTCATTTTACTTTCTTTAATTAAACTTTGATTTTATTTGCATTTTTTGTTTGTTTATTTTTAACACAAATTGTGGATAATTTGAGTCTTTCAGATAAGGAATTCATAGGCCATGGCTGGCCAGATGCAGATTATTGACAACACCAACAGTTTTCTACAAGAAAGTAACCTGCTTGGTTGTTGTGGGCCAAGCTGTGGGCATTCTCTACCTGGACTTTTCCAAGGCTTTTGATAGGGTTTCCTACTGCCTCCTCCTAAAGACACTGATGCATTACAGTATAGACAAGTGGTCCATGCAGTGGATGGGGAACTGGCTGACAGGCTGGGGCCTGTCAGCAGGTGGTGGTAAATAGCTCCGTTTCAAACTGGCAACCTGTCATAGGCAGGGTACCCTGGCAATCAATACTGGGCCCATAAATGGGGGCACAAGTCCTGTTAGAATTTTGTATGGAACAACAAGCAATAGTATTCTTCCACTGTAGAACAATTCTGCTTTATGTTAGGAGTCTAATATACAGTATCAGGGTAAAACTCTCAGAAAAACCATCTCTCAATGCCATGATTTTTCATTATTCCTTAGGCCTCTTAAAAACTCCAGTGGCTAATTCTCTTGGGAAGGAACACCAAACTGCCTTTGTGACTGCTCAGAGAGACACTTGACTGTTTGGGCAGCTCCCCCATGGCTACCTAAAATGCATTAGTAAAACAAATTAATTAAGGCAAGGTGTTTGTCATAGCCACTGAATATAAAAAGGCAGTAGTGCTCAATATCATTCACACCTACAGCATGATTACTTAGTGTAGGAAGACCTATGACATGTCACATAGCGAAATAGTTGGAAACCAAAAGGGTTGGGCGCCTGTTCTGATATAGGTTAAGTCAGGCTTTATCTCTGCAAGACACTTAACAGAAAGGACAGAAAAGAGTCTGCAGGTGAAGAGCATTAAGGAAGAGCATAAGAATATATCTAATCCAAAACCAGACCAGTTCCTTACAACCATAGTCCCCTCTGGCTAGCAGCAGTTCTCAATCTCATGGTTTAGGGATGGTATTCTCTGATTTAGTATGCCCACTAAAAACCTCCAAAGCATGTGCCACATTTTTCACATCTTGTGCTGTCCTGACTGGCCCAAAGGCTACTGTGTGAACAATCTCCTGTTTAATTTGCTCAAAAGCTCCACTCGAAATTGTTCTCCTTCTGGATCACTTGATACAGAGGTCTCACAATCTGACGGTAATCTGGAATATGCATCTTCCCCACAGTACCTAGGAAAGCTTGTGTTTCCTTTTGGTTGGTTGGTGAGGACATAGCTGCTCTTTTGTTGACCACGTCTGGCAGTTTGAGCCACATTAGAAATCTAAAAATCCAATTTCCAGGCTTCCCCCCACCCCTTCCCACAATTTATCCTAACACCGGAGAGAAACTTTTAGGTCAGAGGCTTCTATAGGGGAAGGGGAAAGTATATACATTTATTTACACAAATAAATATACTGTACAAACTAAAAGCAGCTATATATATATATATAACATTTCTGTCAGTCTTTTTAAGCCCCTCCCTTTAACTTTAGTCCAGGAAGAGCCTTTTCAGGCTGCTGGGCAACACAGTTTCTCTAGTGGGAGTGTTCTGGGCTCGAACACTCCCCCCTCACCAAGCTCCGGCTGTTTGTTGCAGTCTTTCTCCTCACGAAGTCCAAGAAGATAGCTTTGAGTCCTTTCTCTTCGGTCTGCTATGTGATCTCTCCCTCTCGATCTCATACCTCGGTTCGTAGGCTGCTGCAGTGTAGTTCAGCTTACCAAGCGTCCTCCGAGTCAGTTTTTGGCTGCCCCCGGTCAGCTTCGGCAGGCAACTCCCGAGCTCTTGGCCTGTCTACAATTTCATCTGGGATTCTTCTCCTGAGCGCCGGGCCTACCTCCTCCAGCCCGTCTCTTGGCTCAGCTTCAATGCTGAGCCTCTCCTCCACTTACAGTGGAGGGAAAGAAAAAAGCCCCCCTCCACAGCTTTAACTGCAGAAAAGGAGGGGGAAGAGAGGGCTTGGCTGCAAAGCTTGCCTCTCTTCTCTTACCTCAGGTGCTGCAAATTCCTTCCTTCACAGCACACACTCTAAATGGTGCCTCTTAACTCTGGCCTACACAGAGTTGGGGGCTGCAGGGCTCCCCCTCCCCCCTGAAGTGGGGGGAAGGAGCCCAGCCACCCCCTGGCCTTCTACACCTACACACAGCAGATACCAACAGCAGAACTGCCAACAGCTTCTGGTGCTGTGTATATATGATTTTTAGCAGAAGCGAACAACATGGAGGGTGATTGGCTCTCCAGGGAACACTGCCCTGGCACCCAATCACCTCTGAGCCCCCGAACTCTCAAGGGGGGGCCAATTTCAAACCATGACACCACATCCATTGGAATCTGACAACATCCATCTTGCCATTTTACTACTAAAAACTGAATTTCCTGGGCAGGTCCCTTGACCTTACTTTGCTTTATGGCAAAACCTGCCTTGAGGAGGATTTGGATTATCTTTTCCCCTTTCTCAAAAACTGCCCCTGCTGTGTTGCCTCACGTGATGATGTCATCAATGTACTGGAAGTGTTCTGGAGCCTCACCCTTTTCCAGTGCAGTCTGGATCAGTCCATGGCAAATAGTGGGACTGTGTTTCCCCACCCCTGGGGCAGTCAGTTCAAGTATAGTGGATGCCCCCTGTAAGGGGGGTACTGTTGAATTAGATGATCAATGGAGCATAGAGGCGTGAGAACGAACTCATATTAGGATGTGAAACCAGCTAGACTATGGTACAATGTAACTTATGGCAGAAGCTAATTGTAAGGTCCATTGTGCTTTTTAACAAGTCAGCTTGTAAGGTCCATTGTGCTTTTTAGCAAGTCAGCTTGATATCCCCTATTATCAGAGCTGAGTTTTTCCTTGGTTTTGCTACATATTGCAAGATAGATACATCTACCCTTGAAACACAATGGTAGAGGTCATCCATAGGGGTGAGAAAGATGATGATGGGAGGAAGATTATGTGGGCAGGGGTCGCTCGCCCCTTGCCCTACAAGTAGGGCATGCGCAGACTGTTGCCATGAGGTCATGATTAGGCGGTGTTTGGCTGCCATTCAGGCATCACCTTATACTACGTACTGGCCCTACGTAGTGTAATGTGGAACTGATAAAAATGGGGTGTCGGAGCTGCTGAGTTGAGCGATACTCATCCTACCACCGAGACTGTGTTGCTCCGCGGGGACGCCCGCTAAGCATGGGTACCGACCAGCTGCTGCAGATCCTGACAGCCCTGGCCTGTCTGTGTGGGTAAGCACAGGTTATTGATAGGAAGCAACTGAGAGAACAAACTTTTTAATATCCTTTTAGTGTTCCTTTAATTCCCCTTTTATGTTTATAGTTGTTTGTTTTTTTTTTTCCTTTAGTTTCCCTCTTTACTAACCAATATCATGTTATCCATAATATTGTGTTAAGATCCTTTTTTGGTATCCCTTTTTCACTAGTTAATACTGTATTAAATGCTGTTTGTAGTATTTGTTTTAATGCCACCCGATAAGATAGTTATTTTGTATCCTTTTTTAGTTTTTAATTCCTCTTGCTAAGTTTATTACTATTATTATTATTCTCACTGTAATAAAAGATATTTTGTGTGCTTGAGTATTTTTTGGCACTTGTCTTTATTCCGGACATGTATCCGAACGTACTGCTACATAAATTGGCGTAGTCGGCAGGATACATGGAGGAATAAGCAGTGCCCCAGGGAATTCGTTGGTGGAGTGCTCAGCTGACGTTTCTCTGTGTATTGGTGGGAGATCTTCAGGTGGAGTGCACAGCCTGGAGAGCCGCGTCCCCGTGTGTGTTGTGTAAAAGGGAGATTCTCAGGTGGAGAGCATAGCCTGGGAAGCCGCGTCCCTGTGTGCGAGGTGAACTCTGTGTGGGTGCCGTGGGTGCCAGTGTCTGGGTTCATATCTTCTGCTAGTTTTACTTTGTTTTAAACTGGGTTTTGTTGTTCTTGTTGATTAAGTTACTATATGGGTGGCAGTGCTTGTGTTTTATATGCTTTGTTTGGTTTTTTTTTGCATATGGGAGGTAGTTCTGAGCAATTAATTGTGATCACACTTCTTGAGACCTAGAATTAAGATTTGTCCTTTTTGTAACTGTTGTTTATATGTACGACTTCATTGTATTAATTGTAATAAATATATCCTGGGACCTAGAGGCAGCCAGGAGATAAGGCTAGATCGTACTTTAAATTTTTATTGTATTCGGTGTGGAGCGAATCAAAGCCTAGAAGATACCCGGTGGATTAGGTTTTATTGTTGTTTCACTCATAGGTATGTCTTTCTGAGGATTCATTCAGAGTTATTGTAGAGTGTGTATTTTGTGGTTGGTATATAGAGATTTTAGATTTGATGTGTATGTGTAGTTAGGCTTGTTTGTGATGTAAGAGCCATAGTTTGTGGATTGGTGTGTCTCATTGTGTTTAGCTTAAAAATTGAGAATCTTTTGTCATTGTTTTGTTGGCAAGAACGTTAGTAGATTAAGATGAAAAAGTGGTTAGGAGGGTCAGCCGCAGGCGGCAATGAACCCAAGAAAGCTCCTCCCCGTGAATTAATAGAACTGGGGCAGGAGCCATGGATTACTTTGTGGAGTAAGTGGGAAGCATGTACAAAGATTCCTCTTGAGTATTGGGGGCAGCAGACCCCGATGGAGGTATTGCGATACTGGGAGCAGTTTACCCCTACTACTAAATCAAGCAGTCGTCTGGAACAGGCTGGACGAATGGGGGGTGCACTGCTTACTGCATATAAGTTAACTGTGGAAAAATGCACAAAACTGCAGGAGCAGCTGAATGCTGTAAGAGCCACTCAGTTGGTACAACGCCAGACTTTACTTGACCTTCAGGCCAAGAAGAACAGGGTAGAAGATAAATGTGTTACTTTAGCTGAGAAATATGCTGTGAGAACTGTTCGGCGCAGACAAAAGAAAATAGACCGAAATGATCGGGGGCCACGGGTGCGAGCCATAGTCACTTCCCCTGATTGGGATCCAGAGAAGTGGGATGGTAACATATGGAGTAGTAGTGATGATTCTGATGAGGACGATTTTATAGAAAATTCAGAGAAGTTATCAACATCAGATGAGTTGGCACACAGAGCAAGAGGCTGACTCTGTGATAATAGACAATGTTGATGCCACAAAGTTTTTAGAGTTAACTAATGATGTATATGTACAAAATGCCCTTTGGCGTTTAAGACAAACACCAGGAGTTGATAGAACTTTAGTTTCAGTTATTGCTGAAGGTCTTAGTGACCGTTTTACTAATGATGAATCACGGCAGGATGGAAGTTCATCCTGGGTAACTCTTCATCAAGCAATCAAAATATTAAAGGGGGAAGGGATGAAAGTAGCTATTGAGCTGCAGAGCCCTGAACTTTACATGCAACAGCCTTTAATTCCAGTAATGTGAAACAAACTGTTAGAAGGCTGTCCTGTACCCTGGAAACCATACATTATTCCACTACTAGTGTCTAACTTGGGGGCACCCATAGAAGAGATCATAGAGAGGTTGCAGCAACTTGGTGACCTTCCAGGCCTCCCACCCACAGAACAAAACCTTAACTTGATACAATTATACTGTTGTAATGAGGAAGAGTAATATGACACCTCAAGTAAATATTAAGTTGTTAGTATTTGGAAGGGGGGAGTTGTTTGTGTTTTGCCTCCCACAGGACCCTGCTGGCTTCCAACATGTTAGATGAAACCTTATCATGAACGGCAAGAATTCTGAACAGAGATCAGTGAACGTTGAGCAGCACAAGACCAGCCCGAATATCACATGGAAGAAAAACATATCCTAAATATAGTTAATTGTGTCTACTAACTTTTGCTAACTGGTGTAATGACTCAGTTATCGTGTACCTGTCTCTTGTGTGTCTTGTCCACACCTGATGTTGTGATTCATGTAATGAACAATGTCCTGGTCAGAGGCTGGGGGGATATACCTACCACAGCCATGACTACTCTTGCATTAGCCTATTCAGTGCAGGTCATGTATCTTGAATAACAAGATGGATTGGTTATTCTTTTCTGCATAGCAGGTCTCGTGTCCCAATGGATCCCTGGATCTACTATTCCAGAGATAAGAAGGTTTATATTTCTTAGATGAGTTGCACCAACAATCTGTATGCTTTGTTTTGTATTACTGGTAAGCAACAATCAGAATTGGAATATTATTCCTGAACTGTGTGCTGCTAAGTTGTTTTGGCAGCAGTGTTAAAGGTAAAGGCTAAAGCTAAGCCCTGGCTTCAAGAAGTGAAAGACATATGTGATGCTGTGTGCAGAGGGACTGCAATTGTACTTGGTTTTGTCTCCTGGGATGAGGCAGACATACCACTAAGGGGGGAAAGAAGACAATGGAAAACTATAAAACTTGTAACATCCTGAAGCCTAATGGTCATCACTGTATAGAATGATCCGTTTCTGTGCTATTCATGTCACACCAGTGATGTTTGTGAAGATCAGACAGAACGGTGTGGTTTGAGAATTCTAAATCAGACACTGATTGTTTTGCATGCTCATATTTGTATGTGTTTTGTCCCAGTAGTGTTACAGCAGGTGGCAAGAATTATTTGGAATCAACAAATGACAGAAACCTTTTAGCTTACGAGTCTATACAAGAATATATGTGACTGTGAAATAACCATGTGTGAGGTGCTAGGCCTCGCAGAAGAAAAGTTTATGTTGAAAAGCTGGTTGGCAAGACTGCAAATGAAGGACTGATGTTTGTGGACCTCCCTATGGGCTCTGGCTTGCATCATGTTTACAATTTTCTTATGATGAATTGGTAATATTCTAGTTAAGTACAGAAATGATTTCACACTCAATGGTATAGTTAATGTAAAGATAGATAAAATTCTTTTATAGCATGGAGGCAAGAGATAACCTGTACTATCACTCCATGAGGTGAAGGGGGATTGACTGCAGTCAGGGGTAAACTGGGGCAGGACGGTTTGCTCCCGATGAGGCCTGGAATCTGTACAGAGAGTGCAAGCTTTCTGTGGGAGTGGTTGGTGAGACCAGGATGTTGTCTGGTGTTGCATCAAACTCCAGATATACATTGCCTGTGATGGCTCCTAACAGGCCTATAAATGTGTGACTGGCAGTCAACCACTTCATACTATAAAAGATGAATCCAAACTATAAAATTCTGAAATGAGAAGTTCTGTTGTACTAGACTTTATATTTTGCAGAAATTCCTGAGATTCATTGCGTTGTCTGAGCCCATATGATTGGACACACCTGTTCACCTGTCCAAACTTAGAAACTAGGTCTGTCAACCGGGAAAAGATTATCTCAAGTACTGTTGACTCCAAGTAAATGACCACTGTAATCCACTTAGATCTCACTGGGGATGGACATGATTATATTATTGTCTGTATTTTCGCTGTTACTCAGTTGGTATGTTGTTTACATTTTTAGAAATGACACTTCATCAATACGCTGTTCGAGTCATTCACCAGTGTCATGGTCCAACCATGGACCACGCGGTGGGATGGAATCCAACAGCCCCCAGGAGTTGGTTTCTCCCCTGAGGGTGCAGAGCAGCAGAGCCTTTTCCAGACCCAACTGTACCTTCCAGAAAGATATCAGCTATGCTTTGCTTCTTTGCTGACTTCTGTTTCGGATGTCAATGTGTGGACCACCTTGGCCAACGTGACGAAGACGGACGTGATATGTGTGTCCATGGCAACTCCCACGAGTCCTTTTCGCACCTGTCTGGTTGGAGTACCTATTGATAACTACCGGTGGGGAACTCTATATAATGAGACCGTGTTAGCAAACTGCACACATCCAGGAACTCAACAACCTCTTTGGTGGTGCCAGGCATCGTGGCGAGCTAAAAGCGGAAAGGACGCTACTTGGTATATTAAGTCTTTAGCATACATGCATAATTTTCCTGCTTTACCCATTCAACCACAAGAGCTGGACATCTTAGGGACATTAACTGCAACTCGATGCTTCTACCTAAACTATACGTCAGGTACCAAGGTTAATGAAGGAGGAGTTGACATTTTTCCTAGAGATATCTACCGGAATGCATCAGCTTGGTGCAATGAGACTCTGCAAAAACAATTTATTCCTGGATCTGATGCGATAGGTCTCCCAAATGATATGTTTCTCATTTGTGGACAAAGAGCGTGGAAAGGTATTCCGGGAAAGGCTGTAGGAGGCCCTTGTACCTTTGGACAATTAACCTTTTTTTCATCCTCGCAGCGTAACCTTGCCTAAACTAAGAAGACGCAGACGTGACACACGGCGATTTACTCCGGACTGTAACTCAGATGTAAGGTTTTGGAATAAAGCCGAAAGAATAACTGCTAGTATAATATCTCAGATAGGGACTGCTCATGCTTTGGCTTCTTTAAATAAACTAGGATGCTGGTTGGCTAAAGAAGCTAATGCTACTTCTGCTGCTTTGAGTGCATTGCTCACAGATGTAGACTCTGTTAGACATGCAAGTTTACAAAATAGAGCTGCTATTGATTTTTTTGTTGTTAGCCCAGGGACATGGCTGTCAAGATTTTGAGGGCATGTGCTGTATGAATTTAAGTGATCATTCTGAATCTGTTCATGCTAGCATCCAGAAATTGAAAGCCCTTACTCAACAATTACATGTTCGTGATGAATGGAACCTCTTTGGTGATTGGAAATGGGGATGGCCCTGGTTACGAAAAGCGTTAATAGGCTTGTCAATAGTTGGATGTATAATAACATGCATATTGTGTATGATTCCCTGTATACTAACATGTGTACGTCGAATGATAAACACCAAGCTAAATGCATTACAATCTCGAGTAGTTCGTTATCACCCTCTTGCTACCATTGATCACGCGGTGGTATGTAAGGGGGGTACTTTTGAATTAGATGATCAATGGAGCATAGAGGCGTGAGAACGGAATCATATTAGGATGTGAAACCAGCTAGAGTATGGTACAATGTAACTTATGGCAGAAGCTAATTGTAAGGTCCATTGTGCTTTTTAACAAGTCAGCTTGTAAGGTCCATTGTGCTTTTTAGCAAGTCAGCTTGATATCCCCTATTATCAGAGCTGAGTTTTTCCTTGGTTTTGCTACATATTGCAAGATAGATACATCTACCCTTGAAACACAATGGTAGAGGTCATCCATAGGGGTGAGAAAGATGATGATGGGAGGAAGATTATGTGGGCAGGGGTCGCTCGCCCCTTGCCCTACAAGTAGGGCATGCGCAGACTGTTGCCATGAGGTCATGATTAGGCGGTGTTTGGCTGCCATTCAGGCATCACCTTATACTACGTACTGGCCCTACGTAGTGTAATGTGGAACTGATAAAAATGGGGTGTCGGAGCTGCTGAGTTGAGCGATACTCATCCTACCACCGAGACTGTGTTGCTCCGCGGGGACGCCCGCTAAGCATGGGTACCGACCAGCTGCTGCAGATCCTGACAGCCCTGGCCTGTCTGTGTGGGTAAGCACAGGTTATTGATAGGAAGCAACTGAGAGAACAAACTTTTTAATATCCTTTTAGTGTTCCTTTAATTCCCCTTTTATGTTTATAGTTGTTTGTTTTTTTTTTTCCTTTAGTTTCCCTCTTTACTAACCAATATCATGTTATCCATAATATTGTGTTAAGATCCTTTTTTGGTATCCCTTTTTCACTAGTTAATACTGTATTAAATGCTGTTTGTAGTATTTGTTTTAATGCCACCCGATAAGATAGTTATTTTGTATCCTTTTTTAGTTTTTAATTCCTCTTGCTAAGTTTATTACTATTATTATTATTCTCACTGTAATAAAAGATATTTTGTGTGCTTGAGTATTTTTTGGCACTTGTCTTTATTCCGGACATGTATCCGAACGTACTGCTACACCCCCCCAGGTGAAAGCAAACTCTGCCCTGCACTCTGCTGCTAAATGAATGGAGAAAAGGCATTAGCAATGTCAATGGTGGCACCGCTTTGCTGCCTTGGACTCCAGTTTGTACTGAAGTTCCAGCATGTAGAGCACAGCAGCACTCAGTGGTGCTGTGACTTCATTCACGCCACGATAGTCCACTGTCAGTCTCCACTTTCCACTGGACTTATGCATTGGCCACACAGAACTATTAAAGTGTGAGCAAGTCTTGCTGACCACTCCCTGGCTTTCTAGTTCACAAATCATCCCATGGATGGGATTCATGGAGTCATGGTTTGCATGGTATTGTTGACAGTGCACTGTTGTGGTAGCAGTACTTATTGTTCTTCAACCCTCAGCCAATCCCATAACAAAAGGGTCCTCTGAGAGACCAGGCAAGGTATTCAGCTGTCTAATTTCCTCTGTCTCCACAACAGCTATCCCAAAAGCCCAATGATGCCCTTTTGGGTTCTTGAAATACCCTCTCCTGAGGTAATCTATGCCAAGGATGCACTCTGGGCCAGTCACAACAGGGTGCTTCTGTCATTCCTTCCTAGTCAGGGTCACTTCAGCTTCCAGTAGTCAGTTATTGGGATCCCTCTGCCACCCCAGAAATAGAGATAGATTCTGCCCCTACATATCTTGATGGCATCAGGGTACAGTGTGCACCAGTGTCAGCTAAAGCCTTATATATACTCTTGTGGGTCTGATGTGTCAGGCCATCAGATCCACACAGTCCTTTTCCTCCACCTGGCTGGAGGCAGGGCCCCTTTAGTCCTGGTCTTAGTACTCATTGCTCACTTCTTGTAAATATGAACTGGAGGTCCCTTCAAGAGGATTAGAAGTAATATCAGCCTGTTGTTCTGTCTGAGGACTTGCCCACTGGAAACTGGAGTGGCATTTATCCTTGTAGAATTTCCTGCAGTGGTTGTCCTTTCTTTCAACTCATGTACCCATGCTGCTAGGGCAGAGGTGGGTTTTCTATCCCACTTCCTCATGTCTTCTCCATGGTCAAACAGGAAAAACTACAGGTTACCTCATGGTGTTTGCTCTCTCTCGAGCTGGGGGTGCTTGCCCAACAGCAGAGACTCTGGTCCATACTGGTGGTGCATGGGACATTTCCTCTCCAGTTTGCTCGAGCCTTCTGAATCTGCCCGCAGTCTTGGACACTCTTTCCACAGTCAAAGCACAGATCAGTAAGGAGGAAAAACAATGATCTTCATATTGTCTGAGTTGGGTAGTCACCTGAAGCACTGTTTGTTCTACTTTCATTGACATAAATGCCAACAATACACAGCAATGGCATGCTCTTTGCAAACTTCTGCCACAGGGATTGTGTACACTGGATGTTGTCTATAGGGAACTGCTCATCATTTGAATCCCTACAAATTACCTCCAGCACATCTCTCAGGTACTGGATACCTTGCTTCATGGCATTCCACCTGCTTGGGGGCACTACTAGATCATCCTTGAGAGAATACCTTTCCCTTACACTTGACAGGAGTTGCCTCCAGAGGCTGAGACTTTCTGTCCTCTTCCCAGTCCCCTTGCCAATGCCCCCATCCCAGGACAGGGATCCCAGCTGCTTGGCTTCACTACCATCTAGTTTCATATTTTGGGCTGTAATATCCCAGCATCAGAGCAGCCAGGTCACCAGGGGCTCACCCAACTGGCGGCTCAAATCTTTTTGCATATCTTGCAGCTCACCCAGGGATAGGGATGCAGTGATTATCTCTGGCCCCGCCTCTTCCTTCTGTTCTGAGAGCCCTGCTTCCTCTTCATCCCTCACTATGTGAACTGATTTTGCCTTGGATTTCTTCTTCTGCTACTGGCACAAGTTGTTTCTCTGGTTCAGCTGCAGTTTGAGTGACCACAGTGCCTGTTGGTCTGCTTTTCTCCTCTTCCCCCTGAGGGTGCTGTCTAGTAAATGAGCAGTGTTCGACAAAAAGTAGCCAGGGCCCAGCACTTGCATAAGTTCACACCTCTCTGGAGCTGCCACATCAGTCCTCTTTCAAGTAATCTGCCACTTAATCAGGGTCCTGCAGTTGTTCAGCAGTGAACTTCCAAACCATTGGAGCAGAACAGTCCCTTAAAAGCTGGCCCATTTTCTCCCACATTCTATGCCACTCATGATTATTCACCCCGGGCAGATCTCTCAATAACTTCATGGTGTGGTGGACTGCACTGAGGAAACCTGGCAGACTTAGTAATAAGAATATGCTTTCCTCAACATCCAAAGGGAATTCAAAATTCTCAAAAGCTGTTGTAACAGGTCTGAAGGAGGAATGTGGGGTGAAAAGCTGGGAAAAATCATCCTCCCCTGTTCCCCCCACAGATGAGGTATGATTATTAATGGACTCCCAAAGGTAGTGCCTGGGGTAAGGGCAGGAGAGCAACACTGAATACACATCCCTAAGGACCCTCATTGTCCTTGATATCATCCTATTATAAGCTGATATCACACAGTACAGCAACAACCAGTGAACAGACCAAGCAACATTGTGACCAGTGGCTCCACACCTAATACAACAAATGCTTTGATTGAATTTCTTCCAACCCATTGTGGTCAGATCTGTTTTTATCTCAAAACTTCGAGCCTCACATTGGGTGCCAAACTAGGCTGTTGTGCTTTAGGAATTGTATTCTCCAATTTAGTGTTCCCACCAAAAACCTCCAAATCATGTGCCACTCTCTCTCTCCTCCCGTCCCTTCCTGCAGCAGGCTGGAGAGGAGAACTGGAGGCACAGAAGGTCAAGATTGTAGGTTGAGATAAAAACAGCAGCGAGATAAGAAAATGAACAGTAACAGCAATAATATTAATAACAAAAGTGTAAAAGAGACAGGCGAATGATTCACATGCAAATGCTCACTGCAGAGCCCAACCCAACCCTCACCACGCTATCCTGATCTGGAAGAAAGCCCTTATAGCCCTTACCCCCATCCCCAGAAAATGACATGAGATGGTATAGAATAACCTCGGTGTCCTAGCCATGTCCCCTCCTGGCTACTGCAAAAATTAACCATTACAACTTGAGAGAAGCATTCTTCTGCTGTGAGGTAGGGATGTACTTATTGATCTAGTACTAAATAACTTCAGTGAACACAAGTTCATGCTTCGTGACAAGCTTAATGCATCTGAATTTGGAACTAGAATACAAGTTTTATACATAGCTTCATCTAAGTGTGGAGGCATTCATCATTCAAAGCTAAAGTAAGATTTGTTAGTTGAAATGAAATTATTCTTATAAAAATATAAAATAATAATTTTGCCTTCTTTATATGTGTAAAACAGATCAAAATTTGGACTAGCACCTAGCTAATCTTAATTCCATCACACGTCTTTAGGGGACTCAGCAGTTGTGTATTTTAACACATTTAGTAAAATTTTGAGCTAGAAAAGTATAAACATGCACATTTTTTTCCCTTAAATGTATGTTAAAACCATCCTACTTGCATGAGTCTCCAGTGTGGCAACACAGAGATAGCTGCGGGATGATCTACCTCTAAAGCCATTCATGGTTTGAAAAACAAATAAAGAGATTCATTTCAAAGCAAATTCTTGCAATGTCCTCTTTAAAAAAGGATTCCTGCAGTGTCTTTAAAAACAAACGTCATGTTAAAAAATTGTCAGAACTTTTTAAAAATTGTCATATATTTTTCCCTTTTGCATTCAGATTTACTACATAACATGAAGTTATAGAACTCTGGAGGGAAAATAAGCACTCAATTTTCTGCTTAGGTTACTAATTCATATTAGTGAAAAGTATCCTAAGCACTCCTTAAGAGCTCTGTCTTTACTTCTCTTTTTTTTAAGGCAGGTCTTTAAATGTTTTTATTAATCACTTGAGGACCTTTTAACAATCACACAGAGCTCAATGATTTGTTTAGATTTGTGGGTCTGTCAACAGATGGTCCACTATGAGCTATAATCTTGATCATTTCACTTCACCTAAAGTAAGGGAAAAATAAGCCTTTTTCATATCCACCCCAACAATGAAAGTACAGTTCTTTAAGTACAGCTAGCCAAATCTGGTTTTATGGTTCTAGAGCTGAGTGACACATATTCTATATTTTCCTAATCTAAAAGATACATTAGCTTCCCAAATCAGAATTTCTTCTAGGTAGAAAATGTTTACATCTATAGACAGTGTATCAGAAAATTAACTTTCTAAAAGGCATAATGGTCAGTGTTACTGGTGCCAGAGGAGAAAGCTTCATACTATTTAGGAGGTTCTTACATATACCAGAGAAAAGGAAAATATCTGTGTTCATATTTTCCTACTTCTTTGCCCAATCCTACATACTCCCTCTCAGCTGCAGAAATATGAAGGAATGGCCCTGGCTTTACCTGTCTGAAGAACTCCTCTAGCAAAGACATTGTCCAGCGATGGTGGAGATCCCAAGCCTTGGCTGGATGACTGATATCTGCTGTATGTAACAACAGTGATAAGGCTTTCGGCTTGTCAATTCTGAAAACCCAAAAGATTAAACAAATTAATTGTCTACTCCTGCAGGGGCCAATGACAAAAATGTTACCTTCAGGGAAATAAGGTAATTAGAATCCTTGGCCAGCATATTAATAAAGTGATTTCTCTGCTCATAAAGTCAGACAACTCTGAACGACTGTCTTATTTCTCCAACATACACCATTCCTGTTTTAAAAGACATTAAAAAATACAAAAAGAAATGTTGCTCAGCCTTGTTGAACAACTTTCCAGGCTTGCTTGTCTGCACTAACAGGCTTGAAGAGCTGCTGTGTTTCCCATTTCATCTGGGCTGCATTTTACGCATCTCGGAAGAGAAGTTAGTCCCTACCATCATACTGTAATGAACAATCAGGATCTCATCTCAGGGGCTCTGATGAGTCTACACAGTAACTGATAAATGTTTCACTGATAGAAAACTAGTGTGAGATCAGAAACGAACCCTGGCATCTGTTTTCACAGAAAAAAGGTTGGTGATTTCTTACAACCATAACCTAAGAGGTTAGCCCAAAAGCTTTCTCAGGATGGGTGGTCTCATTTTTTAATTCCTCTTTTTGGCTATCTGAAATAGTTGAAAGAGTTGTAGCTTGTGAGAAGGCCAAGTGGCTAGTCGCACTCTGGTCCGCTACAGGTATAAAATTCTTATACAGGTATAATTCTGGGACGCTTTGGACAGACCTTTGTCCAGGGTAAAAAATTGACCATCACTCAGCACTTTGTGCTGTACAGAAAGAATTTTAAGGGGAAGAGCTGTAAACAAAATATCACAGCTCCCAGTGACATACTGGGAAGAAGAAAAGACCTTTCCCATACTGCTCCATCTATTATTTTCCAGTTGTTCCCTCAGTGGATCTCAAGTTGTTTTCATCCGTCCTCTGGTTATGAAGCAGGCCCCTTGTAGAGTTGGCAGCTGATAGCATCGGCAGAAGGGCAAAAGCGTAAGTTGTGTTCTGCAGATCTTATAACCTTGTGTCATACTTAATCTGTAGAGATGACTCAACTGAATCATGTCCTTGGTGTTACCCACCAGGAAAATGCCCAGTGAGGCTTTTCCCAACAATAGTGAACATTTCCAAGCTTTGGTCCACCAGCACAGAGTAGAGATGTGTGCCAATGCCTTCCTAAGTGAATTCACTACAAATTCAACAGCAGAAAGAAAATTGATGGGGACATCAGAGAAAGTGAGAGCCTCTGGAGAACTGCTTCTGAAGTTAAACACAATGGCAAAGCTCCCACTGAAAATGCAGCCCCACACTGCACTGTGTTGTAAAGTGACTCACCCTTCTGGTTGCTGCAAAGCATTCTTCATAGCTTTGATTTGCTGGAAGTGACAGGACATATCAGTGGCCAACACCATCTCAATCACTAGAGCTCTGAATTCTCTTTTGAATGGCATCACAATGAGAGCAGCAAGGAAAGAGAAGCACAAAACCCAGCATCAGACAAACTCCAGTTTCTTTTGTTGTGTATTTGCAAATTTTTGACAGCAATGCCTTTGTATGTAACTCTTTCTATTATCCCTCTTTCAGGGATGGGAAAGAGGATGAAGGATTTTCTATACAAACATAGAAGTGGGAGGGTTGCAAATTAAGCCAGGTGGCTGATCCTTGGTAGAGAAATCCTAGATGTTTTTTGAAGAGCATATTGGTATTAGTACTGCTTTCTCAATTAAGCACAAACTTCTTAAATTGATTTCTTTTACAGGGCATTCTTAGATGGAAGCCTCAGAATCAGGTGAACTTGACTAAAACTGGTAGATACCTATGCTGAAAGTTTAATCACACTACTAAAAGAAAAACTACTATGATGCATATATGAACTAAAGACCTTTGAGAACCTGCACTACTTTCCTGATATTATAAATTCAAACTATTCCTGTATTAAGTTTTGTTAAGAAAACTTGTTGTCCTAGTTTTGGCTGGAATAGGGTCAATTTTCTTCTTAGTAGCTGGTACAGTGCTTTGTTTTGATTTAATATGTGAATAATGTTGGTAACACACTGATGGTTTCATTTTTGCTAAATAGTGCTTATTCCAAATCATGGACTTTTGAGTTTCCCATGCTCTGACAGTGAGCAGGTGCACAAGAAGCTGGGAGGGAGCACAGCCAGGACAGCTGAACCAAACACGCCAAACGGATACTCTTTACCATAGAACGACATGCCCAGTATACAAATTGGAGTCACTGACCACTGCTTGGTGACAGGCTTGGCATCAGTCAGCAGATGGTGAGCAATGCTATTGTGTATCACTCGTTTCTCCTGGGTTATTTCTCTCTCATTTTATTACTATTATTATTATTATTAGCAGCAGCAGCATTAGTATTATTATTAATTAACCACAACACTTGTTTAGACTCCAGATGAAATTCTTTTGAAGATGATATGGATGTCCTAAACATTTTTAAATATCAGAACCTTCTGATCTAGACACAATACAAGTTTATTTTCTCTTTCTCTCAGTTCAGCTCTCCACAGGTTTAAAGAGGAAGAACAGTCCAAGGTTGGCATATCAGATCAGGTTTTGTAAGATTCAGAAATGGGTCACCATTCATTTAAAATAAAAGCTACCATTCTCCTTTTCATAAATATTTCATGAAGGATGTAGTCTACTTTGATCACATCTCTTTTGCCTCTAGTGGCTGTGCTCAAGTTCTAGCCCCAGGTCACCAATGTGTAGAGACCCAAGACTTCTGTGCTTACCCCATCTCATGGATGGCACATAATGCAGCCTCCCATCTCCAGTTCTGCACACTGATGGCATCAGCTGGCCTCACTCTTCCCCCAGTATAACCACCTCCTCCTCCCAACCTCTAAGTACAATCAGTTGCATAGTCAACACTGTTGTTGACTATAAAAATATGTCTTACAGTTATATAAGATATAGATATCTTTTATGTCTTATAGTTACATATACTTACATTAAACATGTATGTTGACTAACAATATGGTGGCTGAAAAGCAACTAATTTTAAATTATTTTTAATTTTAATTTTTTTTTCCAGTCCTGGTCAGTTCCCAGCAGCACAGACCTCACTGTCAATACAAACAAGGAGAACCCAAATGCATAGAAACACATTTTTACAAGAAAAGGGTGTGATTATTCTGTGGGAACAATTAGCACTGGGAAACAGCAGACTTTTCACTACATCCTCTGGACTGCAACTGCATCATATTGGTCTGCATGGGCTACTTTGTGCATAGCTTATTGCAGAAGGAATACAAAAGCAAAGGACTCAGTCCAGGAAAATGAGGCACTGACTGCAGTTCAAGCATGTACATATGCTTACAAGCACACACATTCTAGTTCCCCTTTCATAGATGCAAATCTGGAATATGCACATTCTCTGAACTCTGCACATACTTCAGAACATTATTTCCTCTGAAACAGAGATGACAAATACTTCAGAGATAGTAAGGATTTTACTACTGAAGAGTTCTTATTTGTTACTTCAAATAACAGGCATCACAACAGCAAGTGACTTCGAAAAGTGTGGATATAGGGAATGCATGAGAGAAAATCTCAAAAGACATAACACTAGAGGATGATAAACTTGTTCATTTTTTGCTAAGTTGAGATAATGCTGAAATTCATTACCGAGAGAATCATAGATATATGTTTATCCATTTCTTGGTTTCACATCTGAGTCAGATTAGAGCCTGGTACACACAGCTGTTACTTTTTGCTCTGACCATTTTTAGCACTTTGTTTCTGCAATTGTCTTCAAAGTCCACACAACACATTATGGTGCTGCAGTCTGCATGCTGTCTAGCAGTCCTGGCTAAATAGATCCCAGATATTGTTTACAAGTGGTGTTTCCACTGAAGCATCTCTGGACTATATTTAATGATTCTAATAATGCACAAAAGCCTGTTAATGTTGTACATGACATTCCTTCAGAGGAATCAGTCTTTCATCTGGACTAACACCTTTCTATTAGAGAAGCACGGTATATAAAAGCAGAGGAAAAGCAAGTCAACTGAAACAGTTTCCACTTCTTTTATTTTTAGAAAATATATTTGACAGTCTCAAAGTAGAATGAGGTAAGAGAAGAGACTGCACCACTTTCAAATGTCTATACATTGCCGTGAAATTGTGCAAAACTATAGTGCTGGATACTTGGGCTTCATAAATATCGACATATTGTGAAAGGGCACACAGATTCAGCTCTCACTTCATTTCACTTACCAGCGAGATTATAAAGTCGGAGATTCCCCTGGTATTTCTCCAATATCTTGTTCTCCTTCATTCCCTAGTTTTCAAACCCAGTTTTGTAGTCAGGAAGAAGTTCATGAAGATCAAAGTTTAATTCACTCAAATACTAACTGTCCCAAGTAATTTCTTAAATAACTTGACTCCAGAAAAGTTGTCCAAGTCTTTAAAAAATAGGTAACTTAAAAATGTACCCAAGAAAAGAAGAAATCCTGCAAGCTGATGAGAAAGGAAGGAGCATTATACCCCTATAATCTACCCACCATCCTTCTTCCATTATTTGAGGAGGAAAAAGGGATCCATTTCCTCACCATTAATTCAATGTACATATTGCACCTGTTCTTACTGACTACACTCTGCAGCGCATTTTCATTAACTAACGGTCCTAAAAACAACAGTGACCAGTTTAGGATCTCATGGGAGGTTTTGAGTAGGCAGTTGTATTAGCTGCAAAATCTGACCTAAATCCTTTTTATTTCAGGCACAATCAGGAGCAACTGACACAACTTCCATCAGAATCGGGCAGTCTGAATCAGCTCTTGAGACAGATAGGGCCTGACTCCTTTCCAAATCTGCCTCTGATAAACAGCAGTGTTTACTGCTCTAATTTAAGTGTGACTGCAATTCACAGGTGCAGTCTACATGCAACACAGGAGACTCAGGACATTTACAGGAGGCACTGGAGCATGCGACTCCTCAGGGAAGAGCATCCAGGTCTGGCTTCAGAATTGCAAGGCAACAGCTGCGTGGCAATCAAGAAACTGCAGAAAGGCAGATCATATGCACAAAAGGTTGCTCCCAAGCGTGAGCAAACTAAACAGTTGTTGAAACTGGCCTAAAAGACACAGCAAGAGCTGCACTATGCCCTGTTAGCTTGCACCTCTCTGTCCTATATCACACAGTACAAACTGGTGGCAGCATTTCTTCAGGTTTCTTATCTAGCTGAGATAATTCAAAGTATAATTCATTACACTTACTATCTGAGAAAACAAGAGCCATGATCTGGAGATGCTGATCTCTGCCAACTCTTTAGAGCAAACCAGCTCAGCTGGTTTATATAGAAACCTACAGATAGCTGAAGTGTGATAACAATGACAGGAATTGATAAAAGGCTTAAACTAAAATACTTAGTGCATCATACAACATCTCCTGAACTGAACTATTTTGATAATTTTGTCTGGTTGAAGCCTCAGCACTTTATTATTACAGAAATTAATAGGAAAACACTGCATTGAAGGAAATATCATCATTGGCTGGTTCTCACTAAAGGTATAACACTCAGAATATTCACATGTCCATCCTGAATGCAAAGGAACAAAAATTTACAAGGAAAGGGCATGATTATGCAACCGTGCACACGGTTATACTTACAAAAGAAGAGTATGACCAAAGTTGTCTTCAGTCAAAAAAAATTCATGGTTTCTCACCACAATCTTGAAATTAATAACAGTGGTTAACAAAGAGGGCTCAGAATTATTTGAGGGACAAAATGCCAAGCAGCTTTACTGGCAAAGTTAGTATTGAATTAAAGATTACTTCCCAAAGTTGTCCTCCCATACAAAGCTAAGCAACCAAAGATTTTCCAGACACCTTTTTATTCCTGTACTTGGCAGTAAAGAGCTCTGTTTTAATAAACTGCATCAAAGTTATTAGCAATTAAATACAGTGCCAGAAAAGATATCTATAGCGGTATCTTGGAAGGCATTTGTTCACTTTGCAGTTTATTTTCTTAGCTCACTGTGATCTGGTTTTGTTATAGTTTCTTCATTAACTTGCTGATAACTTGCACAAATGGGATTCATGAAATGAGGCAACTCAAGTGATTTTCAAATACTTAATAAGCACCAGAGGTTTTTTTAAAATGGAGGGGAAAAAAAGTAGTTTAAGTACCAATAAGACTTCAACTCTTTTTCTTGATGGTAACACAAAAGTTCTCTTCCATTCTCATCCGCTTTCCTTACAGAACCTGTGGCCATTTATTTTCCAACAGTGAAATGTATCTCCAATTTTCTGCATATCTTTCCTAAAAATACACTCCCTAACTAGATGACTGAATTCCATAAAGGTTATAAAATCCACATAGACATCTGGGATTGCAAAATCCACTGATCATCAGATTTTCTCTTACTAGTAATGTCAAAAAAGGTGTCAGAGTTCAGCTCAGAAAGGCACTTAAGAATTTACTTTCCAAAAAACACTACCAGGGCCTTTTACTGAGAGAGATTTATCAGGTCTGTCTGTAAAAGTGAAGTTTAATTTGGACACATTTTATTAGCTTTCCAAAGCATTCTTCAGTACTGTGTGTCCTATTTTTGAGTGCCAGAATGGAAAACTCTAGGCTTTTTTGTTTTTTTTTCCCAACACCTCAGATTCTGCTGAGTCAGTTGATGTTTACAAGTGCTTCCCAAATGTTTGCCTATGGGAATTGTATGAAATAGTGGCAGTCAAAAGCAAAAGCATGCAAAAATCACAATGTTTTTTAATTAAGAGTCCTTCCAGACAATGGTTTTTATTCTGCAGCTTGATCAGCAGCTATAAAATAAAAAAGCCCTACTTGAGAGAGAACAAATAAGCAATCCAAATCACTAAATATTTTTGCTCAGCCACTTGCAGTATTTCTTAAAGAGATAGATTAATACTTGAAACTTTGGGTCTAAGCACATTGCATCAACAGGACACACATGTTGGTACTATAGAATCAATGAGAAATATCTGAAGCTGGCTTTGATTCAATCAATAACAGTTTAAAGCCTGAAAGCAGACCATTTCCCTAAAGGCAGTATCTATGCAATGAAGCATACTCAATTAGCTGTTCCACTGTAAACAGTGGCTATTCCCTGCAGACAGTGGCTCTAAGGCTGATGTTTCTAGTTAGTTACTTTCCTTATGTTTCCCCACCAACATAAAAGGTTGCTGATATTTGACTAGGCATTGCCAGCTGTAGCTAAAAGAGATTTTTAACATCTTGGTGCAGGTATTTTTTTTCTGTTCCTCTTTACTGCCCACTATGAGACTATTCTCCATATTGGGGGATAGAATTTTCAGGCCACTGCTTCACAACACTCACAATTGACTGAAATTAGCCATCTAAGTTCCTGAGTGTTATTCTTGGTGTTTAGCTATAGGATCACATCACTGTCCACAAGTTAAAATAAACAGGAAATTCAGGCTAAACAGATTAGCAAGCAGAGCCTTCACTGACCATTTTACTAGAAGCCAGGCCCCAGAGAAGGGCTCATTTCCCCACATTTATATTAATATAAGATTAAATGATTACTCAACACTGTGTCACACTTAAGCATATGCAGAAGGCACTGTGTGTTACATAGGGTCCCCCTCCTTGAAAAAGACTACGAAGCAGGATTCCTTCTGTCTAGCACAATGGGCTATTTTTCAAGTACCACACCTTGAAGTTCAAAAGATCCCATAAAAACAGAAAACTGTTATCAGTTTGAATTGTCTGGTATTAGAAAGGAAATCATGGGCTGATTTTGGCACATAAATCATATATTTCTTGAGGTTTATTTTAAATTACAGCTTCTTACATCACCTTGACACATATAGTAGACTGATCTATACTCCAGGGACTGGATTATTCCATTCTTTAAGTCCCATTTATAATTTCCAGGCAGGAAGTGTCAAAGTAGATAAAGGTTATGTTTAGGCTTTAGGATGAACAAACAGTAGGCTAGCTCTACACTCACTTAAAAATGGATGTGTACAAAGAGTGTCTCTGTGATACTTAGAAATTAGATGGGAGTCAATTTCTGTATTATAATGCATCATCAAAAAGTCTAGCTTCAGTATCAGAGGTGAAAACTGAAAGCAGAAATAAGCAAGACAAACACCTTTTAAAGTTCTTTCCCTTGTAGCATAGAAATATTAATATGTAATATACAATAATGCATATCGCTATTCAAACAAGGTAATAGCAGTCTATGGTGATGCTGCAATATTCCTAGGCAGCCACCATGTTAATTTTTACCTCCAATCATCCTTTGAGAGATTAGATAAAATATTCATCTCTTCATCATCTTGCAAAAGACGATACGCCGCACTAACATGGTGATTTTCAAGCACAGACCGGTCATTATATAGAATGGCTGAGTCTGACCTAGCATTTAAAAGAAAACATAGGAAATGTTGTTTCTTTCCTGTCTACAGTCTCACATTCAGAAGTTTTCCTTTGATCAGCTGCAGCAATTAAGTTTACAGAACAGATACACACATTTTAAGAACATTTGTAATACTTTGTTAATTGCTGTTATTCAGTAAAAGAAATGTAAAGATCAAAACTCGCTGCAAAATCTATTTCACCAGCTGACATTCAACAGTTGCTTTGTTACATACTTGAAATCAAGTGCTGAAAGCTGTGAGAGATACATAAATTGGAATTTGAACCATGAGGCTTTTTTCCAGTTCTTCTGTATGTTGCTCTGATATTAAAGCCTGACTGTACCCAAACAAGCAATTGCAAGATGTGACCCAATATTGTGTCCAGAACAGAAAACTGGCTGAAGGCAAGACATAACTGAATTGCATTCTGACATCCGTGTGCTAGACTATGTTGTCCGGAAAGGCAATTGCCAGTGGGACAGAGTAAGACCAAAGGTACTTCATGCCTTACTTTAAGCCCCAGGGCAGAGATCTGTGATAGATGAATAGCTAAACTGGCCTGAAGACAAAGAAGTTAACGGCAACAGAGGATGAGTATGATTTGTTACAGTCCCCACTCAGACCTGGTTCTCAGAGAACAGTGTATATTTTTCTCCTCTGACACCTTACACCCTCTGATGTTCACTGTTACAGAAATTAAACTACAACGGTCCTTCCTTTAATCCTTTTATAAGTATTGGGAAATAGAGCAGATCTCTAATTCTTGCATGGATGAAGCTGTAACCAGTGGAGTGCAGTCTGGCCTAGAATAGAGACAGAAACTTTTTTCTACATTCCTAAACTTTCCTGCACATATGTGTGCTTATCTTAGCAACCACTGTTGATGTACAGCATGATTCAGCTAATACACTAAAGACATATAATTTAGGGTAAGATAAAACGCACCTTAGAAGTGCCCAAGTGTACAGGGTCATTTGAGGACATCTAGACATTTTGTCATTGCTACCAGTACACTCCTATTGTCAAAATAATACACAGATATTAGATGTCCAGTTATCACTGCAACTAGAGATTTCATAATCTTTGCACACTTCTGACTTTTGCTGCCGCCTTTATCTTCTTCTTTCTTCCACCAACCCAAAAGCCTTATAAAATACACCGGTCCGCTCTAGTTTGTGATCAATTAATTACTGTCTAGCAATTTACAAAGCTTTTAAAAAATATTTCCCTGATCAGGTAATGGTCAACATAAGCCATTGCTGCAGGTGTGGTTTTCCACTCAAGTGAAAATAGTTTGTGTAGTGTTCACTGACATATACAACAAATGTTGTTGAATGCCTGATTTATGCAGTTAATGTTTGATTCTTCAAATTCAACAAGGAGAAAAAAATTGTCAAATTACAGTATCTCCTTCAAAATTATAATACATTAAAATACATTACTCTGTACAGCAATTTGTCTTTGGCACCCTTACACAAAAATATTTTGGGACCTTTCTTTTTCCTGATCATTTATGTGAAACAATGCTCAGAAAGCTAAAATACATGCATTCCATTGTATGGAATGGCTGAGCAAGAGAAAATTGAATGCAACCTAAGGAAGTGAACTTTCCTCCTGTATCACTTGAAAACAGAAGTTCCGGCACTTTTCTAGGTGTGCTGTTATTCACCACAGGTTTCCTCCTCCATGTCTCAACCCTTCATCATGATTTACAGTGGCCTCACCGTGTCTGGATGTGGAAGTTGTTAGTGGTTCCAGTGTGTTCATAGTCATGTACGGCAGCTGCAAAGATCATAGCGAAGATCTCCAGCTCTGTCAGCCAGTGCTGAAAAGAGATTACAGAGGAAATCAGGTAAGTTGTCATTTTCTCAGGCATTAAGGTTTTTGGTTTTTAAGGCAAGTTATCTCCTGTTGACAGTCAATGTTGCACATCATTGCCTTTCCCCTGCAGCCTGTCAGCTGTTTTAAAGCAAACTTCTCCGGCTAATACACAAAAGCCAAACCAGTGTGTTTCATGGATCTCCACCTAAATAAACCGAACTTCAGCAAAATGGTTTCAGGAGCTAATAAAGTTTAAGGCAGAGCAAGGGGAAACACAGGCCCTTCTGAACAAGCAATGTTTGCAGAACATAGACAAGGAAACCTCGAGAAAATCAAGGTTCTTCAAAGGAAACTTGATGATACATGTGCAGGTAAACACATACCACCAGGGTATGTATTTTCAGTTCAGCTGACCTGTGTAGCAGAGCCTCAGATACAGAAGAACGTCACTAAATTGCAGTAACTAAATGTCTGTGCCAATCACTGAATCATGAGGAGAACAAGGAAGATAACATCAAAAGATGTACATCTTGTTATTTATTTATCATTTTTAGAAACTTTTGAGAAAGCCCTAAAGTTTGTGGGTTTTTTTCTAATTTCCTAGTCAAAGCATTACTCTTCAATGCTTAAGTCACTTTTCCCTTAGATTTATAAATAACAGCTAGGTTCAATAATTTTTCTCTTGGTCAATCAATCATTTTACTGTCTAGTTGTCTAGACACACAAGGAGTAACACATAGGGAGTGTTGTTAACATCAAGCACACCAGAGGCAAAGGTTTTAGATACTGTAAATACAGTAAATATTTGTATGAAATGCTTAAATGTATTGCATTTAGGGAAAATTTTTACCACAGTGATTGCCAAATAGTTCTGTAACTACCCACTGTCAATCTGAAAGTGTTTTGACTGACATTCACGTATGAGCTGCCTTTTAATTCAATGTACATATTGCACCTGTTCTTACTGACTACACTCTGCAGCGCATTTTCATTAACTAACGGTCCTAAAAACAACAGTGACCAGTTTAGGATCTCATGGGAGGTTTTGAGTAGGCAGTTGTATTAGCTGCAAAATCTGACCTAAATCCTTTTTATTTCAGGCACAATCAGGAGCAACTGACACAACTTCCATCAGAATCGGGCAGTCTGAATCAGCTCTTGAGACAGATAGGGCCTGACTCCTTTCCAAATCTGCCTCTGATAAACAGCAGTGTTTACTGCTCTAATTTAAGTGTGACTGCAATTCACAGGTGCAGTCTACATGCAACACAGGAGACTCAGGACATTTACAGGAGGCACTGGAGCATGCGACTCCTCAGGGAAGAGCATCCAGGTCTGGCTTCAGAATTGCAAGGCAACAGCTGCGTGGCAATCAAGAAACTGCAGAAAGGCAGATCATATGCACAAAAGGTTGCTCCCAAGCGTGAGCAAACTAAACAGTTGTTGAAACTGGCCTAAAAGACACAGCAAGAGCTGCACTATGCCCTGTTAGTTTGCACCTCTCTGTCCTATACTCTATCACACAGTACAAACTGGTGGCAGATTTCTTCAGGTGTCTTATAGAACTCTACAGATAAAGGCATCATCAACATACAGTGGGAGACATAAACATCTCCACAAGTGATGGTGACAGAGAATTTTTACGGTAATTTTGTATAGCCCATCTAAGGTAGTCATGGCATGAGAGTGTTGGAATTTGGTTAGGCTGAGTCACACGGAACCATGATTTTCCCTCATCCTTATTTTCAACAGTTCCCAGTTAGACTTTCTAACAGCTGGGGAGTGTTCAAGAAGCCCTGAGCTTCAGTAAGAGCTTTAACATCTGCTGACCTGGGTTCACCTGTCTGCTCTGAACTACAAAGGCTCCTTGCCTCTGGAACTGCACATGAGTTAGTGGAAGGACCACAGTGAAAGGAAGCACAACAGAACAGAATTACATGTATTCAAGTACCAGCCACAAATACAGCACCACTGAATGCCATGTTGTAACAAGAGAGAACTGTAAAACTGAACACCAAACTTCCTTTTCACTGCCACCTTTGCCTTTACGCTTCTGAGAATGCAAGGGCAAGGGAAAATTGGATACTTGGAAAAAGTGAAGTAAATAATATGAGGAACAGATCTGCCCCACAGGATCAGACTGGAAGTAATTTCATTCCTCTTTCTGGCTGCAGCAGTAACCAGGAGAAAGAAGAAGTGCACACTGTGTGGGACAGAAACTTTATGGGCCTCCAGCTAAATCCAAACTGCAATGGTTGATTATCACTCTGGAATCTATCTGCCTTCAATTTCTCTAGTCCATCTTCAAATGTATTTCTGTTGTTTGGCTTGAAAACCACTGTGGGAACATATTGTACACTACATATTTTTTTAAGCCCTCTATCCATTCCTGACACTGTTGTCAGATATCAGCTGTTTGTAGGCTTCTATGTAAGCCAGTTCAGATGGTTTTGCTGTAAAGAAGTAGATGGGGATCAGCATTTCCAGATTACAGCTCTTAATGCTCAAATAAGTGGAATGAATTATCCTTTGGATGTACTGCCTCCATTGCTTAAGTTAAGAAGACAGCTTAGATAATACAATCCTTCATATTAGGTGAAATGAATTCCAATAAATTTGTGTTGGCAGATTCACACAGGAGATCTGTGGGAGAGTGAAAAACCAGGCTTAGGTCTTTCATTCATCCTCTTTAGATCAGTGTTAGAAGAGTTATCGACAACTTCACCTACCTTCAATTTCTAAATAATCCAAAGTCTCTACTTTTATTAGCCCAGCCATGTCAAATGAAGTTTGTCTACAGTGCAAATGGGTTCTACTGTGGATAATTGCCGGGGTTTGGAAATTGTTAACTCACTTGTCTACCACTGGTTTCTGTGTTGCCATAGTTATTATATTGTCTCCTTGCATTGGCTAGCCAAATGGCCAATCCCCTCCTTCGCCCAGCAGCCCTTATAAGCTGCGGGAAATTTGAATAAAGCTCTTCTTCGCTGCTGGATTCCCTGCGTGGTCTCTGTCTCCTGGCTTAAGTACCTCCACCGCCAGTCCCTGCCACGAGGGACGGGTAGCGGGGGGGTGATTCCAGCCCTGAAAACCTTCACAGAGCGGCCGGCAGTGACCCCCCAGAAACCCCTCGAACTGCAACAGATAATCACAATCTCATTATTAAGCAAAAACTGTTGTAATCTAACTATATATTGAGGATGCCAAGTCCTTTACTTACCACTACACCTGTCTTGAAAAGGAGGTAATGGACTGTCTGTGTCACATCTGCAGCGTGCATGAGGTTGTGATAAGGATTTTTGTGTTTGCTGTAGCCAACCTCCAGAGCTTCCACAAAGGACACCAGGGCAGAAATGGGAATCTAAGTAAAGCATCACAGAATTAAAGAAAAAAAACCAAAACAGCTTTAATGACTAGCATTCAGAGAGGAGTATTTTGATAAGAGGTTTCCAAAGAGCAGTTTTTACTTGACAAATAAACAAAACACTAAAACATCTGAAACAGGCACTCGAGAGAGAGTGAATTCAGGTTACTACTTCAACCTGGTTTTTCCATCCATAATTACATTACAGGTAAATCATTCCCACACATAAACACACAGAAATAAGTATACTATGAAATGCTGTCTGGAAGACACATGGATTATGAAAAGTAGCAATGACCACTTTATTGATTGTCCCTGGAGAAATATTTCTAAATAGGCTACAAGCAACTGTCTGTTGCCTTCACAACCCACTGGAATACTCTGCTTTACTATTCACATTCAAGATTTTCTAATGAAACACATCATATAGCAAGTCATTTATCAGACCTCTAGGTTTTCAGAGCAAAATCCAGCCTGTCCATCCTATGGGATTGCCATGTTTTTCTGACTCCAAGAGTAACTGCAGACACTCAAAAAAATGCAATTGAGGGGATTTCTAGAGAGGAGACTATGCAGGTGCTGTCGGCTGTAATGTATGCAATCGGCAACATGGGCAACATGGGTTCTCCAGTTTCACTGTTTCCATAGAGGAGCACTGCTGTTGTCCTCTTGTGTACATATAAGTAGAGGATGCAGCTCTGATCAGACACCTTCTTCAAAGATGTCTCATCAGACATGGGCAGTTTCTGAAGAAGTACAGGACCCAAAGACCTGTAAACTCTTTCCAGTCAAAGTGAGTGGGGACCCATGGGAATTGGAAATGAAAATGTCAAAAGAAGAAGGGACAGCAGAGTATCTGTGTGAGGGGAATGGTCAAGATCTAGATGGCAATGTTTCTGCCATCCAAATTTAAGCCTGTTCAAAGTTGGAGGAAAAGATACATAACATTTGTATCTGCAAACCTCTGTAACAATTACAAAACTATAGAAGAGTTAGGGTTGAAAGGGACTTTTAAAGATCATCTAGTCCACCTACTCCTGCAATGAGCAGAGGGACATCTCCAATTAGATCAGGTTTCTCAGAGTCCAATCCGACCTTGAATGCTTCTAGGGATGGGGCATCTACCATCTCTCTGGGCAACCTGTTCCAGTGTTTCACTACTTTCACCATAAAAAAAATCTTCCTTATATCTAGTCTAAATCTACCCTCTTTTAGTTTAGAATCATTATCCCTTGTCCTTTTGCAACAGGCCCTGATAAAAAGTTATTCCCCATCTTTCTTATAGGTCCCTTTCAAGTACTAGAAGGCTGGAATGAACATTCATCAGAACCTTCTCTTCTTCAGATGAACAACCCCAACTCTCACAGCCTTTCTTCATAGGAAAGGTGCTCCAGCCCTCTGATCATTTTTGTGGCCCTCCTCTGGAGTGGCTCCAATAGGTCCATGTCTTTCCTGTGCTGAGAACTCCAGACCTGGATGCAGTACTCCAGGTGGGGTCTCATGAGAGTGGAGGAGGGAGCAGAATCACTTGCTGGCCTAACTAATCGTAATGAATTTGAATTTGCATTCATGATCTCTTGTTCTCTTTTTGTGCCTGCATACTTGAGGGTCCTATGAAGCTCAGGAAAATGACACCATCATTCTGAGAGGATCATATGCAGTATTTCCCACGGATGTCACAAGGAAACCTGTTTGGAACCCCATCTACTCCACGGTTTCCCATTGCAATTGAAAGTACTACTTAAATCACATCTGGTCTTGCTTATTGAGCAAAGTGCAGTGTTCAAAAAATCTTCAAAGAGCACTAAAATTGCCTTTTGAATGGAATAAAGCAGGATGAGAGGGAAGTTGAACAAAATCTAGGATGGAAGAAAATAACCATCTTCTAACTACTGACCTTGAAACGGCTGATCAGATCATAGCGCGTGAGAAGTTCATAGAAAATGAATTTCAGTGCATGATCCCCACTGGCATCGTTTAGTGCAAATACATCAAAGGACCACTTGTCAACATTCTGCAAGAGTGGGTAGAAAAGGCAATTAATATGGTCATCCCTTTTATCATCATAGTTCAATTTCTCTCACTTTCTCTCACAATCTACAAATTGAGAATTAGAGAAGTGATGTCAGCATATATTTTCTTTTTTAATAAATTCTTCAATTCCATTTAACCAATGCAGAATCATCAGGATACTCACATTATCAGTATACTCATCAGTATTGTATGACTTGCATTTAGGAAGTTTCCATTAAGAACATGTATGCTGTTTGCTTATTCTAAACATGGCAATTCTCTACACTAGAATTTAATCACCAAAGGATGAATTCTAATAGATAAAAATTCTGGTGTGCTTTAGTACCTGAAACATTGAGATGGCCTATTGGGGCTGATTTTACCTCTCTCTGTCCTCTACCCACATGCTATATCTATAAAAAAGAAAATAATTTTGAAGAAAAGAGGAATAATGAAGATTTTTTTTAATGATACTGAAGCCTCTGGATTTTGCTGTCCCTCTTGAGTTCTTATAACTCTGTATTGTGAGCAAAGCATTCCAATGCCTCACTAATGTTTAAAACAGAATAAGGTTATATGGTTTTTTGCAGTAAAACAAAAATACGGGCACCTGAGCTCATATTTCTATCACTTACTGTTCAATCATCGAAGATGATAACTAAAGACTATCTTGCTAGACCCAAAGAGCAACTTAATTTCTTCTGATTTGAATATTAATCCTGATTTGTGATTATTGCATCTTAACTTGCCCAAAGAACATGATCCTAATTTTCCTTATTTTTTTAAAAAGGTAATTGAGTCCAGTGGAGTTTTCAAAAAAACTACAGTGCAGAAGAAAATCCTGGTAATATTACATTATGTGCTAACAATTATATAAAAACCCAAGCTTTATAATAGAAGAGTAAATACCTAATTACCGTCGGGAAAGTTCCAATCAGCTGTAAATGACATATTAATGCTGCAGCGTGATCAGCATTAATATCAAGAGATTGAGGGGGGAAAGTTCACTTCCCAGCTCATAAAGCTAAAGTATAAGGTATAAGCCTTCTTGCAGAAGGTCAAGTTCAATTATCAACTTTTAGGGAAGGCCATGGAAGCTGACAGCACTCATTATCTAGCAAGATGAAGCTCCTTGATCTCAGAATTGGATGTTTCTGAAACTTTAAGAAACTTTCTCTCATCCCAACAACAAAGAGATGCAGATGGGAGTTACAGCTAGTAGAATGATATACAGATCAACCACGTAGCTGCATCTGGCACAAGACCAGCCTTCAAGTCCAATGCAAAAGACATTTTAATCACTTTGTGGTTGGCCCACTATACATCAATATAGCTACTGGACTTCCTCTGTTCTGAATGAGACCAACATATTTTGTTACCGCCTCTTTCCAGCATGAGGTGATCCTTCCTACTCACATAGTGCTGATTACAGATAGAGCTCAGTATACCTGTTGTGGCACTACAATCCACAGAGAGGCTAATTAGCGAGTGAACATCAAGGATGCTCAATATTCAGCTCTTCTTTCACCTATCCCAGTAAATTACTTGCTTGCCGAGCAGTTGATATTAGAAGCTGTGAGGAGCTGAAAGATTGAATGCAGTGTCAAGCTTCTCCAGAGATGATTTGTGGCCCAAGTCACAGAAATGCAATCATAAATTACAGTTTTTCAACACTTTCATTAGGCATTGGAGAGTAAAAACAACCAAGAGATTATAAAGTTCCACCAAGAAGCCCTTGAACAAACTTAGAAAACGAGAAATAGAAATGAGAGAGAAAAATAATGCCCAGGGCAAACACTTGGACAATTTAAAGTGTTTTCCTTTTTTTTTTTTTTGGCATTTGTATTTTTTAATCACTTATTTTGGTCATTGAAGCAAATTAATTTAAAACTTGCATATATATAGTAATTTGCTTCTGGGTCATAAGACATCAAAAATAATGTGTCAGCTGTGCTGAAAGTTAATTCACTGTAAGGCAATCTTATCTTGTAGAAATAAAAGGAGTTTGTTCCTTTATTGTATTTTCCCTGCAGATAATGTTGTAGTCTTGCCTCAGATAAAATTTACCAAATTGTGAAACTGTAGACTAGCACATCCGAACTGTTCTTCTGCATGAAAGAATGGTTAATCATATAGATGACAAGTTTCACAGGAGAGCTGTTTAGATTTTACTGAGGGAGAAATCCTTGGTCTTGTCACTCAAGAGAAGTTTTGCTATGGACAATAATGACAGAAGCATTTTACTCCGAATCACTGGGGGGGGGAGGGAATCTTCTTATCAGAAGCATGAAAGTGTCATAGATGGCCTATAGGCTTGCAGCAACACCAGTTACACTTTGAAACTTAGTGGATTTTATGACCTTAAAAAAATTTTAACACAGAAGTGACCCCTATACTGGGGAGAGATCTAAAAGCAGAGATAATTTCACATATGACTTGTGACAGAGGAGAAAACTTTTTCTTCTCCCTAAGGAGAGCAGGAGAAGCAAGAGAAACTTTCTGTTCTATACATGCCAGATTACTGGCCCTGTAGCCTCAGTGGAAGTGCATAAGATGCTCTTATGTCACATATGACAACTGTAGTGTAACAGAAAATAGATCCAAGACATAATACTACTCTGTCCTGTGTCCTGATTACTTGGCCACTGATCCACTGCTTCGGGGAACCTAGAGATGAAGACAAACACTAATTGTTTTTAAAGTCAGTTTCTTGACTTTCTGTCTCTTCTTAACCTTGAAGACTTGTTTTATAAGTCAACAAGCAGTATTTCATTGTTTTACTAAAACTAACCCCAGTTTGCCACAAAGCTGTGATTCCACAGGTTTGTATTACTCAGTGCAGATGTCCTGTTGGCCATAGCAGCAAAAATGAGAGCATGCAGTTCAAAAATAAGCTTGTTTTGACTTCATGCCATCTCAATCCTTGTACTTATTAACATGACTCTGAGGGGAATGTCGATTATGGCAATCCAGAACAGCTGAAGAGATGCGTGTGGTACACTCCTACACCCTTTTGCATGCTTAAATCATCAGGTCATTTTACAGAGCACAATAAGCACTCAGGTAGTTGTAAGGTTTTTTTACTAGACCTTACTGGACCAAAGCAAGGAATAAAATACAACATTTTCAATGGAGGAGATGGGACTGAGAAATTTAAGATGAAATTTTTAAGACAGAAAAATTCACAGAATCACAGAATATACTGAGATGGAAGGCAGCCATGAGGATCATTGAGTCTTACTCTTAGCATGCACAGGACATCCCCAAGAGTCACTCCATGTGCCTGACAGCATTGTCCAAATAGTTCTTGAACTCTGGCAGGCTTGGGGACCCCTCTTCCATGGGGACCCTCTTCTGCCTTCTTCAAAATAAGTAACTCCCTTTTCAACCACATCCACTACCAAAACCAAAGCCAGCCAGGCAAAAATATGTCCTCACAACAGTTTTGGAAAAATATACATTCTAGAGTCCACAGTGGCCAAGTGGGTGTTATTTCACCCTGAGCAAAATTAGTTTGTTGTTATTGATTTATTTTAACTTACTCTAGCATGATCAATTCTCTGTATGACTTAATCATTTGAAAACATAGAAAAAAGAGAGGGATTCTGTAAGGTTTAAGTCAACTGAGAGTAGCTGATGGATCTTCAACTGTCTTGTTGAAGGAACTTGAGAGAAGAGGTGCCATTATAGATATATTCCCTGATAAGCTGGTTGGAGTGTAGTTGCAAAAGAACAAAGAATTTAGATTCCACTTGCACGAGTGAGGGTAATGAAAAGGATTTGGTACCCTAAGTGTAAGTCTTTCCAGTGTGGAGCAATGCAACAAGATGTCTTCATGAGCTTTACACTGCGTATTGCCCCACTTTATCACCTTTTTTCACCATTGCATGGCATGGTTGAACCACATGCAACATGTAATCTGCAAAGCTATATAGGCAGCTGGTTGCTAACATCTGTTTGTTAGTCTTGATAATTCCTGTCTAAGTCAAGAATTTTGCAATTGTCCCATGGATTGAACCTTTGGGGTTTTTTAAGACTAATTATGACTAAACATTTTTCCTCTGAAACCTCAAAACTCATAAAAGGGTCAATATTCATAAACTGATTGTCACCTTGAAGACCTGAAGCATGAGAAATTCCCTTCTCTTACAGCAATTGATCCTTTTCCTTCTCCACCTCTCCCCATCTGTATTTTCTTTCTTCTCTGTGGGATGTTGTGATTAATTCCCAAGTCCTTGATTTAATCACTGTACTCTAGAACAGAGCTGTAACCTTCACAACCTGAAAATGGCCACAGCCTTGAACTCTGTTCTTTCCTTTATTGAAAGGATATTCCCTTAGGTCTCTTAAATGATTAATGTCTGTGAACTAAACTAATGTCAGAGAGAAGGAAAGGCCAAGTACTAAGACTTCCTTATCAAGTTCAATATCACAGTATTATCTTATGCTTTGTATAGACCCCCTTTCAATACCTTTTTATTGGGATTACCTTTAGCACTCCAATTACAGCTGGTGGGTAGCTCAAGCCAACCATATTTGAAGTCCGTCTGTACATTCTACCAAGACAAAATAGATAAGGCAACACATAAATAGAATTAAACAAAATAAAGCAATCAACAAAAATCATAAAACAACAGACCACTACAGGAGACCTTATTTAGCCCAGGAAACCCTAACTGCAATTTGGTTTTTTTTCTTTCCATCTTGTTCCTAACTTGCACAATATCCTCTATACTATTCTTATTGTATAGCCTAATTTGAGCCTATATGCTCCCCATTATCTCATAGCTTGGCTACCCAGCAGGCCATGACAAAGAATTTGCCAATACAAGGTCTTCATCGGGGGAAAGGCTACACTCAAATAACAAGATGTTCCCAATTTTCCATTGCACGTGTCTGTACTGATCTTTCAGTTCCCTTAGTCCTTGCTGGCCCACATGCAAGCTAATTCTGAATGTTCCTCAGAAATCATTTGTATGCAATGAATCAACTCCAGTTTGGTACAGCTGTTACTTTTGTCTGTATCTTGTCAAGATTAGTATAAAACCTTTTGGGTGTTCACCCCATGTGTGTGTTTCAGGGAGTAAGAGAGAAAGAACAAGGCAAAAATCAACATCTGTAACCATACTAAAAGCATGTATGTAGCAGATTTTAAACTTGATTATAAAGCATATTTTAAAAAGATTATAAAGTATGTACTAGACTTTAAACTTGTTTTCAGGGCACACTGTGTTTAACAGGCTTAGTGAATGCAGAAGCATTGTCATAGCTAAAAAGCCTTTTCACAGGTCATCCTTTTTTGCCCTTAGGCATCATTGGAGTAAAAGGAGATGATGGAAGGCTCTCCCATCTGAAATGATGCTGTGCAAAGTCTTCCTTCACTTCCATTTTTCTGTCATATTCTGTACTCAGACCTGAAAAAAGTCATCCCCCTTTGAAGAATTATATTCACCCATTCCTCAAATTACAAAATTTCTTATCCCTTCCTCCCTCCAGTCAGAAGCTCCACAGCCTTAAGTGACAATTCAGGCAGAATCCCTTTCCCTTAGCTCAGGAGAGCCACAACCCTCCTTTGGTGCCACATTATATCTCCTTTGGGCCACGGTGATTCAGATCAGCTGCAAAACAGCCTACTACACCCTACTCTGCAGCAGTTAATTTACTTCCTTGTTAAGCAAGTCCCCCACTAAGAGTGAGGGTTAATTCACAAATAGCCTATCAAACCTAGGAGAAACCTGTTCCAAGGAAAAATGACAGGTTTATGCTTATCACAATTTGCTGCCACTCTTAACACATGTACAGTAACTGGTGCACAGATAAAAATACTGGCTATAATCATGCCGAAGGAGGCTTCTGTGTATCTGTGTGGCTTGTGGTCTGCTCTCTGATACACCCAACCTCCTGCACAGAGGGCTGTTAGGCTGTCACTGCAATTCTGATGAACAGTGAGTGCTCTGCTCTTCCATTCCTGACTTGAATTTTGCTGTTACAAAATTCTCCCAGGGATCTGGGAGCTGCCGTTTTTCAGGCCATCTAAAGACTGTTGACAGTTTCACATGTGCCAGCCCTCCTTCTAGCTTGAATGAAGAGAGTCAGCAAAGAGTTGTTACTTGATAAGAAAAGGTAAGATTGGAAGTGAGTCCAAATTGAAATGATTAAATGTTTTAAAGGGTTCAGAAAACATAATCAGTTCTGGCAACAGATTCTGATGTAAATCGCAACGGGGAAGGCTAAGAGGACTCAATGGCTTTTTTGAAATAGCCCTGAACTCTAAAATTTTCACATCAATCTTGATCTATAGTTCTTTCCAGTAATACTATGATAAAGGATTTTGTTTTGTTTCTTAGCAGTTCTTCATGAGAAATACTGGACCACAGAAGTAAACAGAGCCAAGGGGGAGTTTGGTCTGGCCTGACTGAATATTGAATGCTGTCTCTCCTGACCAAGGACTATGCAGAAATGCATATTCTCTGTCAAAATTACACCAACTGTGCTATTACATCTGTACTATACTAAGAATAGATGAAACAGAACTGTTTCAGATTGCAATCTGTTACTTAATCCCAGATTTTGAGGTGTTATCCAAATCTGTGTAGGAACATCATTAGAAGAATATTAAAGTGTTCTTCATTCAATAGAGTAACCTACTAGTTCTCTGAGGTCTTCTGCCCTAAGGTACTGTCCTCCACCTCCTGTAATTGTGCAAAATCTGTGGTACCTGGGCACTTACTAGAACAAAGTAATTACATTCTACTTCACCTTTCTACAAATATCCCAGCTTGCACTGCATGGACAATACTCCTGAACCGTGGTTTTTCCTCTGTCCTTTTGAGCATCATCCCCATTTGCCGCGTGAAGGTAGAAGCCAACCAGTCACGGACCTCTGAGGGCACAGAGTCAGACTGAATATCACCGAGTTCATCTTCTGTGTCCAGTAAACGCCTAGAAGGGTGAGGAACAATCGGTAAACAGACTCCCTTAGAGACCACTACAACATCATTAAGAAAAAAACCCTTCACATATATTCTAATTAAAGCAGCTGTTAAAAGCCTTTGGTTTATCATCCCTAATCAAACACAATTATATAAGTCTTCAACAGTTTCTTTATTCTCTTGTATACTTAAATTTCATTTTGTAAAACTCACTACTAGGCTGACAAACAAGTATCAGCCTTCTGAAGCACAGCTACATAATCATTCACTGACTTCACATCTTCAGCTCATCAATATTTCCAAACTTTCTGCCCTTCAGAGGTAATTTATGGTCATTTCTAACTTCTGAGTTAGTAACACACAGTCCTCTCCTTTCCCATTCCGATCATCTGTGGCAACTCCACAAGTGCATTTGCCACTGGATAAATGGCATATAACAGAAAGAGGAACTCCTCTGCAATGTCTTACCAGTCTACCTCTATCATGACCTGGAGTAAATTTTTTTTTAATTTCAAAGATATGATACAAGCAAAAAGATTTAACATTATTCAAAAAGAATAAATTAGTAGGAATTTAGAAACTTTCAGAAAAAGTGGGACACAATTATTATGAAAACATTTCTCCATGAGAATGTATATTACATTTATGATTTCTTTTTATCTCCTTTCCTGCCCCACAAAATTTAAAAAAGCTTTTAAACCAAGGACTGAAGATCTGCTCTACACAGAATACAATATTGTAATGATTAAAAACATATGTTCTGCCAGTAACAAATCTTGGCTCAAATTTCCCAATTGACATTTAAGTTACAATTTTGTGTCATTGGTACTAGATATAAGAGTGCTGATGTCTGGAGTTAACTCACCTAGTTTCGTCAATGTATACTGACTCAAGAACAGTAGCAGCATATTCCAAATTCTTCTTTAAGTCTACAACCGAAGCTTCCCCTCTCTCTAATTGCTTTACCAAAGACCGCAATCTAAAAAAAAAGCAAAACAAAAATCTGATGACTATAAAGAGAAATAGGTTTGACAGTGAGTACCAGTTCCCAGCATGAAACCTAGCGTACATGCTTGACAAGTGAAAATTTTGGAAGTCTACAAGTTTCTTGAAGCCACATGCAAGAAATCAACAAAAATCACTTTTCAAAGATCAGTTACAATGATGCCAAGCAAATAGTACAATGCATTTAGGCTCAAATAAGTCTGCGAGTTATCACAGTCATAGAATCATAGAATATGCTTAGTTGGAAGAGACCCATCAGTATCATTAAGTCCAACTCTTGCCCCTATGCAGGCCACCCCAAGAATCACTCCATGTGACTGAGAGCATTGTCCAAATGCTTCTTGAACACTGGCACGCTTGATGCTGTGACCACTTCCCTGGGGAGCCTGTTTCAATGCTCTACCACCCTCCGGGTGAAAAACCCTTTCCTGGTACTAAACCTTTCCCAGCTCAGCTTCATGCCATTTCCTCAAGTCGTGTCACTGGTCACATGTGTGAAGAGATTACTTGCCTCTCTGCTTTCCCTCATGAGGACTTTGAATACCACAATGAGGTCTTCTCTCAGTCTCCTCAAGGCTGAACAAACCAAGTGACCTCAGCCACTTGTCATAAGGCTTCACCTCCAGACCCTTCACCATCCTTGTAGCCCTCCTTTGGATGCTCACTAATAGTTTAATGTCTTTTTTATACTGTGGTGCCCAAAACTGCACGCAGTACCCAAGGTGAGGTCTCACCAGTGCAGATTAGAGCAGGACAATCACCTACCTTGACCAGTTGGATAATTTAAAATAGAATTCAAGTGGAATTAACACAGGAGCTGAGAGGACAATTTCAATCCAGCCATAAAACAGAAGTAAGTTTTTGAATAGTATCTGTTAATAAACAATAGCCATTCATAATGATTGATGTATACATATGCAAAATTGTATTAGAGTATATTCAGGAACATTACCATAGAAATACTATACAAGGTTAGAAAATGCTATGATTTTCATTAGATCAAGAGGCCACCCTTAGACTATCCTGTCTATACTAAACAGAACTCATGGAAGTTTTATCAGATTATTATTATTGTTGTAAGGGGGAACAGACTTTTTGAAAACAAAAATTTGTGCAAAAATTGTCTCATCTGTCAAAGACAATTAATATATTTGTGTAATTTTCTTTTCTCTTTTCCTTTTTCACTCTATTAAATTAGAAAAAGAAAGGAAGAAAGAGAAGAATAAAATCTAAAGGCAAGGAGCAAAATCTAAATATTTTCAAACAATCCAGTTTGCATGCTTATAATTAGAAGAAAACTATCATTCCATTAAAAGAAGAATGGGATAAAGACTTGAGAATTTAAAACATTTTTGTGAATGTCCTCTTCCTTGTTAAACAGAAGCTAAATAAACATTCAAATATATATTTAACAGTGTAGCAGAAATCATCAATTGTTAATTTGTCCTGTTCAAGATGCAAAAATGTAGAGGAGCAGTCATGTCACCTATAATTTGTCCTCTAATTAGGAGACTACTCTTCCTCATCTTTTTCTGTATTCTGTGGAGTAAAACAGCCTTTTCCACAAAGCAATTCAGAACTAGAGCCCAATATAGGTGTCTGCTTTCACTTTATTAACTGTCATGGCTAGGCTTCGCGAACGAAGATTTTGGAAAGGCTCTATCCACATTATGCAAGATAGACATGTCCAATTGCAAAAGGCACAACAGAAAGACTCCTTAGGTGGTATATTCCGCAAGACATAATTCTCTCTGCGTTGTCTTTTCTCCTCGAGGGTGATCCTGCGTGCGTTCTCAAAAGCATCAGCAGCGTTATAGATGGTGTGTCTCCAGGCCTCCCGACTGGAGGCCAGAGTAGACCAGTTATGGTGATCAATATGGCCGAGGCTGAGATGTTGTTTCAGGGAGTCCTTGTATCTTCTCTTCGGGGCTCCTCTCTTGTGGCAGCCAGTAGCAAGTTCACCATAAAGCAGGATCTTAGGGAGGCGGTGGTCCTTCATCCTTGAGACGTGTCCTGTCCAACACAGCTGTGTTCTCAGCAACATGGCCTCAATATTTGTGATTGCTGCTTGTTCTAGAACAGATGTATTGGTCACATAATCTGACCAGTGGATGTTAAGGATTGTGCGGAGATAGCGTTGATGGAAACGTTCTAGGAGACGCAGGTGGTGGCGATAGATGACCCATGATTCGGAACCATATAAAAGAGTAGACAGCACAGTGGCTTTGTAAACACTGATCTTGGTACTTTTCTTCAAGTATTTATCACACCATACTCTTTTATGGAGTTTTCCGAAAGCTCTATATGCCTTTGCTAACCTGTTGTCTATCTCTCCATCAATCTTACCATCCGAGAAGATGAGGCTGCCTAGGTAATTAAACTGCTGGACTGATTTGAGCTCTGATTGGCCAATGGTGATATGGGGATGATGGAAGACTTCCTGAGGTGTTGGTTGATAGAGAACTTCTGTCTTCTTTAGACTGACTTCCAGCCCAAAGAGCTCAGCAGTGTCGGCAAAGCAGGATGTTAAACGCTGCAGAGCTGCTTCTGTGTGGGCAACAAGGGCGGCGTCATCAGCATAAAGCAGTTCCCGGACAAGATGATTTAAGGTCTTGGTGTGGGCCTTCAGTCGCCTTAGGTTGAATAGGCTTCCATCAGTACGGTATCGAATGTAGATACCGTCCTGATCCTTGAGGTCTGCTGTGGCCCTTTGGAGTATCATGTTGAAAAAGACTGTGAATAGAGTTGGTGCAAGAACACAGCCTTGTTTCACACCACTGGATATTAGGAAGGGCTCAGAAAGTGCATCACCATATCTGACCTGGCCGCGCTGATCCTCATGGAGTGAGATGATCATTTTAAGGAACTTGGGGGGACAACCTAAACATTCCAAAATCTCCCATAGACCTTTTCTGCTCACAGTATCGAAAGCCTTGGTGAGATCAACAAAGGTTACATAGAGACCTTTATTCTGTTCCCTACACTTCTCTTGCAGTTGTCTGAGAACAAATACCATGTCTATGGTGCTCCTGTTGGCCCTGAAACCACATTGGCTTTCAGGCAGAATTCCTTCTCCTATAGCGGGTATTAATCTGTTCAAAAGTATTCTTGCCAGGATTTTGCCAGCAATGGAGAGCAGAGTAATACCACAGTAATTTGAACAGTCTGATTTAACTCCTTTCTTCTTATACAAAGTGATGATGACTGCATCACAAAGGTCTGATGGTAGTTCACCTAGTTCCCAACAGCGCACCATAAACTCGTGAAATTTAGCATGGAGTGCATGGCCCCATGTTTCCAGATTTCAGGTGGAATTCCATCAACCCCAGCTGCCTTGCCAATTTTCACCTGCTGTATGGCCTTAAGGGTTTCTCCCAAAGAGGGGGCAGTATCCAATTCATTCTTCACTGGTTGTTGTGAGATGCACTGAATAGCTGAGTCTTGAACTACACGGCTAGTACTGAAAAGAGTCTGAAAGTGTTCAGACCATCGAGTCAGAATGGAGGTTTTATCTGTCAGAAGCGTTTGACCATCAGCGCTGAGTAGAGGGCTTTGTACCTGGTATGTAGGCCCGTATGCTGTTTTCAAGGCCTCGTAGAATCCTCTGTGATCACCTGTATCTGCGCATAATTGAGTTTTCTCAGCTAGATGATCCACCACTTGTTCTGGATGTCACGGAGTTTCTGTTGGAGCTTGCTGCATGCAAGACAAAAGGCTGCTTTTCTTACATGACAGGATGGCAATGCAAGGTGCACTTGGTGAGCGGTTCTCTTCTTCCTCAACAATTCCTGGATCTCTTGATTGTTTTCATCAAACTAGTCCTTGTTCATCTTGAAGGAGAACCCTAAAAATGCTTCAGAGGATTGCTGGATGCTGTTTTTAATATGGTGCCAGAGTGTTTGAGTAGAGGGATCTAAAGAATCTATAGAATGATTTTCAAGCCTAGTTTGAAGTAGTAGGAGCCTAACCTCCCACAGTAGACATACGCATGAAGTTCTTAAAATGAAGTGAGTATCTGTATTTCCTTGCCATTACAATGCCCCTGTGGCATCAGTGCTTTCAAAGGAAATCAAGTCTCCATGGGGCTGTATTTCATGGAAGAGCTGAAGAGCAGTCAGTCTGCCTGTGCGCACTGCACCAACAGCTCTTTCAAGCTGGGTTTCCTTCCCCCCCAATTTTTCCTAACATAAAGAGTGAGCCTATGGAGAAAAAAAAATCATAAAAAATATCGATCGTTTCTCTGGCTAGGTCACATAAATGCCACTCCTGCTAAGAGTGGTGCTGCTGACACACAGCTACATATTTAGCTTTACAAAGAATCTTGAGCAACAGGCAGAGCCTCCATCTCCAGGAGGTGGATCTCTCATCCACTTGTCAGCAATTGAAAAACAAAAGTACTGTTCAATATTTCAGTCCTGATGTGAGAATGGAGATGGGAAGATCAGTGATGTACAGATACACTGAGCACAACTTCTCATCTCTGTAAACCAGGTGGAAAGCATTCAACATATTTCCCTCCAGTCCTGAGATCCAGCCCAGAAAATCCATGGCGTAACTTCAGCCCCATGAAAGAAGCATGGTTTGGTGCTCCCATACCCCTCTGCTGTGTAACTGCACCACCAGGTGTTAACAGCAACACAAAACCAAATATTTTCTTTGAATGAGCAGAGCTAGGAAATGTGCTTCCTCACTTTTCAGGCTGATTCCAGCCTCGGGTAGCACACATGGAAGATGAATTTGCTTCCTTCCTAGAGCTAAATCATTGATCCCTCCTATCCATTCCCAGCTTTCCTTGCCAATACCGGAGGGGAGGAAGAGAAAATAAATAAAACCATTTTCGCATCCAAACAGTAAGTATTTTTTCATATGCCACCTCGTTCCTTCATCCCGTGTATGGGGAGTCTGCAGATGTGACCCCTTAACTAGCTACCAGAAATATTGTACACAGGAATCAATATTGCAGGAAGAACATTACCTTTGGCTCTTCCTGACTTTTATTTCATTAATATAATTATCCAGCAGCTTTATGCCACAAGTCATTCAAAATTCATGATGAATAACAGCACAGTGTTAGTGCTTCATGGCACCAACATTTTTCATCAAAGAAGATTATGCAGAATACTATGTGCATCAATCACTTGGAAAAACAGTACTGTTGCTATAATAAAACCCTGTCACACCATGTGCCACTCTCACGTGAAAAAAACATCACACTGCATTCATCTTACCATCCATTATCTATAACTGTTGCTGATTCATTGAGTCACAGCATCTGCTCCCTGTACTAAATAAGAGCCTGGTATCATTTGTCTTTAATGTATTCCATGTATCTCTATTTTTTTAAATAGTCCTAAATGGACTGAAGGGCATCCAGGCAAGTATATTAACTGAAAAATTCTATTTAAGGTGGCTGAAATAATTCTCAAGTTCAATGAAATTACGTAGGAATGTGGTTTAGTGAGGGCTTTGCAGTGCTGGACTTAACAGTTGGACTAATTTGTGATAACATTCCTTTGATAGCCAGCTCAAATAGCTTTTAAAAAAAATGAAAATAAATAAATAAAATCAACCACAAGCTTTAGAAAT